GCCTGGGTGGCTTAGTGGGTTAGGCGTCTGCCTTTGGCTCAGGTCATGATCCCAGGGTCCTGGGATGGAGTCCAGAGTCCCTCCCCGCTCAGCGGGGAAGCTGCTTCTTTCTCTCCCTCTTCCTTTCCCCCTGTTTGTGCTCTCTCACTCTCAAACAAATAAATAAATAAACTCTTAAAAAAAAAAAAGGGTGATATCCAAGAAGGAGGCTGGAAAGAAACACCTGGAGATGTTGCAAGGATTGTGGGGTGTAGTGGTAGTGAAGCAAGGCCTACATTTTGCAGTTCTTTTGGCTACTCGGTTTTTATTTTCCAAATTTTCTTTTTTAATAATGTAGAGGGATAGGAAAATACAACAAAGTTAAAAAAAAAAACCCAGCTACTCCCAGCCTCTCCCACCAGTGTCCGTGGGAGAGTTTGTCCACGGGGTATTGAGGTCTCCAGCACCTTCTCCCATTGAGGGTCGTCCCCTGGTGCATCCCCATGCTCCTGGGCCAGGGAGGGGGGTGCGGTAAACCCCAGTCATTTTTCTTTTCTTTTTTTCACCCCAGTCATTTTTCAAACCAGAGTTTACGTGGCATCTCCAGCCACTTTTACTCGGCCTCCACATTCTGTTAACCATTCTTTTCTCTCTAACAGGTACAGCTTTTCAGTATGGCACTTGACGCTCAAGTGGAATAGGTTATTTTCCACAGTGGTCTGTGAGCCAGGTGAGGGGAGGATTTAGGTCTGAATATCCCAGGATCTTTCTGGACACCTGTGGGAATAAAGCTAGGGGTTGTCCTTGAAAGTCTGAAGAATTTGGGGGAAGACCCTGGTCTGAAATCAAAGAACTAGAACGTGACCATAATTTACCTGATGGAATCCAAAGCAAATATTGTACTTTTTTTTTTGTACTCTTTTTGAAGAATGATTATGACTGATATTTCTGGTTTTCTACAACAGTGCCTGGAACATAGTATTTTGATACTGAGGAGTGGACTATAATTCAATGCTGGCTGCACCGACCACCCAGAGTTAGTGCAGACCCCACTGTTTAAAGGGCGTGGTCCACAGGCACCTGGGTGGCTCAGTGGTTGAGCATCTTTGGCTCAGGTCATGATCCCAGGGTCCTGGGATCGAGCCCTATGTTGGGCTCCCTGCTCAGTGGGGGGATCCTGCTTCTCCCTCTGCCTCCTGTTCTCCCTGCTTGTGCTCTCTGGCTCTATCTCTCTGTCAAATAAATAAAATATTCTTTTAAGAACAGAAAATAAAGGGCATGGTCCCCAACAACACTGCTCCTATTTCGGACCAACTGGCTGGATCTGGGGCTTCTCACGATCCCCCTCAGGTGTGATAATTTTCTGTTACAGCTCGCAGAACTCAGGAAAGCACTATACTTCTGACTGCGATTTTATTCTACAGGATACAAATCAGGACCAGCTACACAAATAGACACATAGGGTGAGATCTGGAAGGGCCCCAAATGCATAGCTTCGGTTCTCTTTCCACAGATTAGGGAGCACCACTCTCCTAGCACAGCACCAACCAGGAAGCTCCTCTGAGTTTTCTTTTTAGAGATTTTACCCACTTTTTTGAGAGGGGGGGCACGCACAAACCCTCTGCCACAGGGGAGGGGCAGGCAGAGGGAGCAGGAGAAGCAGGCTCCCCACTGAGCAAGAGCCCAACTTGGTTGAGGGGGGCTCGATCCTCGGAGCCCGGGGATCATGACCTGAGCCAAAGGCAGCCACTCAACTGCCTGAGCCACCGAGGTGCCCCTCCACTGAGTTTTCTATGGGGTTTCATTACATAGGCCGATGGATTAAATCCTTGGCCATCCAACTGAACCCAATCTGCAGCCTCTCTCCCCTCCCAGGAGGTCAGGCAGGCTCCAGGTTCTGACCCTCTAATCCTATGGTTGGTCTTCCTGGTGACCAGCTCCCATCCTGAAGCTATAGGGGAGCCCTCCAAGAGTCACCTCATTAGCACAAACTCAGGTGGGATCCAGGAAGCTCACAAATAACTACGACACTTCTATCACCAGGGAAATTCCAAGGGTTTTAGAAGCCCCATGCCAGGAACCTGGCACAAATTCTTTATTATACAACACATAGTAGACACTCAATAAATATTTGCTAAGCGGAAAGATACACTAAAAATACCAGAAATTGGCAGGGGAGAGAAAGGCACTTAGGCTCTTAGATTTTTCCACCTGACAAGTGTATATACTTATTATGAAGACAGACACATTAGGCTACAAAAAACCAATACCGTTAAACATTCCAATCCTATGACAAGCTCCCCCTTGCTCTGGTTTATATTACCAAGCACCCTGATGATAATTTGACTTCCCATGTGACTTGTTTATAGAAAGACAATGCTAGCCAGGCTGACATGAGCATGCACGTCTGCCTGAGTCACCTTCTCGTTGTAAATTAGTTAAGTGGCATTCTGGCTTACATGGAGCAGTCTCTTTGAGCTCTCTCCGCCTTCCACACTCCCCTAGAGTAGTTTCCGAACCACATGCAGCCCAAGACGCAACCCTGGACTCTGGCAAGTCCCTCCAGGCTGGTGCCACCCCGGAAGCCTCTAAGAGCCCCGTGGGAGCCATCCAGCCGGCTCTCTGCCTCTACATTTCAGGGTGTGGGCTTCAGGGCATTCACAACATTCCTGCAACAGAAGAGTTTCGGGAACACCCCAAATTGGATCTGGGTGACTTGAATATAATCTCAAGCAAGCAGGTATGTCTGAGATGTGGTTGTAAAGGAGAAAGCTTAAGCCTAATTAATTTTATTCCACTTGACTTAAAGAAAGAGCATGTGAAAGAAGGGGATCTGAGGACATCTGTGACCTGGGCCTCAAGAACACAAGCCTCCAGAGGCTGGAGACACTGAGTCTGGTGCACACAGGCCTTGCAGCGACTGGAGAGATTTACTCTTTTGGAGGAAAGAGAGAAGTCAGTCCTCTAAAACCGGAATGAGGAAGATGAACCCACCACGAGCTGCAATTCAATCTGGTACTCAACAAGCAAACTTCTGGTTAATAATTAGATTGGTGAATCATCGTCACTATATCCTCTCCATTAAAAATTAATAAATGATGTTCTGGTTTATACATCTTCCTCTTATAAGTTTGTTTACTTTGAGTCAGTCCCACAAAGCTGATGCATTGAGTTTCAAGCTAAGGGAAGTTGAGGGTCAGACTACAGAAGATAAGAAGATAGCGACCCCTTCCAACATATTGTCAGCCTGTGGCCAGCCAGCCAGCTCCTCTCTAGATGAACATATATACTTCCATGTATCCCTCAGATCACAGCACATCTAATTCGGGAAGCAGTTCTACAGTACCTTTTTTTTTTCTTTAAGTTTATTTATTTTTAGTAATCTCTACACTCAAGATGGGGCTCAAACTCGCACCCGGAGGTCAAAAGTTGCGTGCTCCTCTGAGTGAGTCAGCCAGGTGCTCCCCTTCTGCAGTATCCTTGAATGGCATTCTCTTTGGGTACCCCCTATGGCTCCACTGTCATAACCCTTCAAAGCAGTCTGCTTTCTTGGAGATCTTGGTTGTTAGAATATCTTTTCTTTTTTTTTTTCATCTTAGAGAATATCTTTTCTTAAATTGGAAATTGAATATGTCACCTTATAACTTCTACCTACTGGTTCTTTGACAAAATAATACAAATGTTTTTAGGTGCCTAGGCTGCATAGCCTCAGTTCCTGTGAAGGAACTTGCTGATGGAACCAAGCCTTCTTATTCCCCTATTGTTCTCCTAGTTTCCCAGTGTCTTTCTTTAAAACATGATTCCCCCACCCCACCCCCGCCGAATCTAGTCAGTCCACTAGCATTATTATTTTTGAGACATAAGATATTGGTGCAGCAAAAAGTTTGTTATTTCTTTTAGCAGCTGCATCTCACTGTTGGCTCATATGCTTCAGATAAAATGCCTTCACCTCAGTGCATTTCCCCTTCCCTTCGGATTTGAAGCTGTTGAAATGAGATACACATTAGTAAGGCTGTGGGTTTACTGTGGTGAGCTTGCCCCCCCCCCCTTGGTGAATGCTATTTCTGTTCAATCTGAGGAAGAGGGCCCTTAGCTCAGGACTCATATACGGAATTCAGACCTAAGCAGTGAATGAGTTTTCTTAGAAAGAAAGAGAGAAAGAGAAAAAAAAAAAAAAGATCTACCTTTCTGTAGGAGAGAAGCCATCACTAGAGAGCTTGGAAGGTGTTTTTCTCATTTTTATCTCCTAGCACCTGGCTGGGTAAAAGGCACTCAGCATGGGCTTGATGAATCTAGTGAAGGAGATACTAATTTCAATTGGGAGAGAGGAAAGCAAAAGAAAGAAAGAGAAAAAAAGAAAAAGAAAGAAAGAAAAAGAAAGGAAGGAAGGAAGGAAGGAAGGAAGGAAGGAAGGAAGGAAGGAAGGAAGGAAGGAAAGAAGGAAGGGAGGGAGAAGAGAGAGCCTATTTGCTCAAGGCTGTTTTCCTTCTGGTTCTAGAACATAAAAATGGCACATACAGTAAAATAGTTTACCCAAACCTAGGCTTGGCTTCTCTCAGAACCCCTGACACACTCCCCGGCGGATTTTTCCTGTCATCTTGAATCCCTTCCACAAGCCCAAGTCGTCTTGAGCACTAATCTGCCTGTTTGTTGTTGACTTAATCTGGAAAACACTTCCTATCACTCCTTGGCCCCCACCCTGTCCCTCAGCCCCTCAACACCCTTCTTCTGCCACTCGCCCCACCCTCCCCTCCCCTCCCCCTCCCCGGGTCCGGAAACCCACATGGGGGTTCAGGTTTGGGGATCTGATGCTGTCACTGCCCACCGACGCTCCAGGGACAACTTTGAGAGGCCATGTGCCTGTCCCCCTGAGGAAGTGGGAGAAATCCCTGCAGCTCGGTTTTGTTCCAATGGTCTGCTCAGTGAGTGATTCCCGTTTCCCCAAAGGCTGCCCCTCATTAGCATGAACGGGGGTGGGGGTGTGGAGAAGGGGTGGGGGGAGAGAAAGAGCAAAAGCCCAGGCTCAGTTTTAGAGCCTGGGAACCGTGTCTACGAAAATGACAGCTAGAGCTTTCTGGCTCCTCTGTTTGATCGTTGGATCATCTCCCGAAGCCCCAGTGGCGGACAGAAAAGGTAAGATCGGTGAAATGCGGAGTCCCCGCGGAGGAGCAGGGGTGGGGGTCGTGGTGGTGGTGCTGGGGGCCGGGGGGGGGGGGGAGGACCGGGGAGAGGGCGCGCTGAAGGGCGGGACGAGGAGGGGGTCGGAGTTTGCAGGAGAGGGGACTCCGGGTCCGTGTTCGTGTTCGAAAGGAGCAAACCGTGTCCCCAAGATGTTGTGTGTCCTGGCAGCCTTTTCGGAAAGAAGCCAGTTCAGCTGCCGAAATGATCTCGAGCGAGCCGGGCAGGCTGGAGAAAACTTTGCATGTTAAGTAGTTGCTCCATCACGGAGGAGGGAAAGTGTCACAAGGGGTCGCGGCCGTGCCTTTCGGGCGCCGCGCGGGCCGGGCTCGCAGGACGCGGCGGGCGGCGGGCGCCCCGGGGAGCGCGGGGTGCGCCCTGCGCCCCGGGCCCGGGTCCCGCGGGCGATCCGAGGCGCTGGGGGCGCCCCGCGCGGCTGAGGGCCACGGGGAGCCCCAGGCGGACACCGGCCCCGGGGCGGGGGTGGGGGTGGGTGGCGCTGGCGTGGGCGGAGGAGGATACCTGCGTCTCTAACGCACACAATTCCATGCATGAGCTGAAAAGAAGTTACTGGGGGGAAATGAAATAAGGGATTCTCAGCGGGGAGACGTTCTTGTTTTGCTTTTATTTGGATGTTCTGTTCGACTCACTTATCTCTGGGAAAAACGGCTTCCGCACCTCGCAGGGCAATTGACTTTGGGTTATTTTTCCACATGGAAATTGAATGACTTCAGTGGCATTTAACCCAAATATCAGACAATCTTTCCCATGACAACAGATGGTGATATCAATGGGGAAGCAGTTGTGAGGTCAACAGTCGACAGTCAGGAATTGGATAACCACCAGGACTTTATTCAGCTGTGTATGGGACGACGTTGGACATAATGAGTCAGAATCAACCTCTCTGCAAAAACATGAACCATAACCGGCTATTAGGGCTGGGTGAAGGCTGATTTTTAAAGGAGATTGTCGATTGGGCAAGATAAGGCACTTTTAATGCAGTGTTGCGAGAGCTGCGAAGGGGGCACACCAGGCTCGTCGAGGCAAGAGGAGAGAAATGCGGAAAACGAGCCCTTGAGACAACAGAAAAAGAAAAATAAAGACAGATTCTTGTGCCGCTTTGGAGGGCACTGGGACCCAGGCAAACGGGGAGGTGATATTGTGTAACTGGGCATGGAAAGTTGCCCAGCTTCCAAGCTGGCTGAAGTTTGCTCACTAACCTGTCTGCAGAGCTGGGGGGGGGGGGGTCATTCATAATTTTTTTTTTTAAAAAATTTGTTTTCACGCCATATCATTTAAGAGATTTTTCTCCACCAGGGAAAGGGGGAATGCAAGTGGGCTGTGTGTGTGCTTTTATGCTCAACCAAGGGGCCTCGGCCTCCCAGCCATGCTTTAAAGATCTTTCTTAGCTGTGGTTTACTCGTAAGTGGTGTCCAAGAAGCCGGATAAAAATCCACTCAGAGACCAAGATGACAGTGTAAACACGGATGGGAAAACCAAATAGTTCTGTTGTCAGGGGCGCTTAAACAATTAGGAGAACCTGTAATATGAGACCTTTCCCCCTGGGGTTTGCTCTTGGTACTTTCTCAACAAACTGTACATAGCAAAAAGGCGGATGTTTATACATATATTAAAGAAACGGCAGAAAAAAAGGGGGGGTTGTTATTTAAACCACAGTTGACAGTTGTGTTTAGTCCTAGAACAAATAGGTTGTTGCAATTTTTAAAAGCTATAGGTTTGAGAAGGTTCCTTAAGGAAATGAAACGTTCCCATGCGGGGAGAACATTTTTCCTGGTTGGCCTGGTTCTCCGGGGGCAAGACCCTCCCGTCGGTCTCGCCCCGGGGCCTAGGGGACCTGCCCTCGCGCTCCCTAACCTGCACCTCCAGCCCCCCCCCCACGCCTGCTCCTCTCGCAGGTGCCTGCTGAGTTTGCATCGCCCCCCGGCGCGTCTGCCCTCCCGCGCGCCCCCACCGGCCCCTCCGACCCCCGCTCCGCCCCTGCCCTCTCCACGGGGGCGCCCTCCTGACGGCCTCCCCGGCCTCTCCTCTTTTTCCCCTACAGCCTCGCCGCCCCACGGCAGGAAGCCCGACCCCGGCGGCGGCCCGAGCGCGGAGGCGACGCCGGGGCCCCGAGCGCAGCCGGTCCCCGAGGCCCCGCGGCGGCCACGCGCGGCCGAGGCCGCTCCCCGCGCTTGGCCGGACCCGCGACGCCGGAAGCCCCCGCCGCCCGCCGAGAACCGGGCCGGCTTCCGGGAGGCCGCGCGCGCGCCCGCCGGCCCGCCGAGCCCGCGCCTCGCGCAGGCGGAGAACCGCGCCTCGCCGCGCCGCGCGCCCGCGCTGGAGGACGCCCCGCGGCGAGCCCGCGCCCGGGCCCTGCGCTTCCCGGCCGTGCGGCCGCCCGCGCGCGCCGCCGAGGCCCCCGCCGGCCCCGCCCACCCCAACCGGCCGCGCGCCGCCGCGCCGCCCCCGGAGCCCGCGCCCGCGCCCGCGCCCGCGCCCCCGCCGCCGCCGCCGCGCCTCGGCCCGCCGCAGAGGGACGCGGAGCCCGGCGCCCAGCCCTGCGCGCGCGCCTGCAGGGTGGACCTGGACGAGCGCGAGTCCTACTGCGCGAGCGAGTTCGGTGAGCCCCGCCCCGGCGAGCCTGCCCGAGCCTGCCCGAGCCTCCCCGAGGGCGCGCCCCGGAGGGACCCGCCCGCTGCACCCTGCAGCCCCCTCGCCCGTGCGCTCGGGTCCGTGAGGTGCAGCCTCAAGTGGGGAGAGAGGGGACGCGAGCGCTGTGCGTTTCTCCAAACTCTTTGTTTTTTTTGAAGAGCAGCAGTGAACGGGATCGTCCATGACGTGGACGTGCTCGGCACCGGGATCCGGCTGGTGACCCTGCTGGTGGACCGCGACGGCCTGTACAAGATGAGCCGCCTGTACATCACTCCGGACGGGTTTTTCTTCCGAGTCCACATATTGGCCCTGGACGACTCCAGCTGCAATAAGCCGTGTCCAGAATTTAAACCTGGTATTGACACTGACCCCACCGCTTAATATACGGACTTTACGCCACCGCTTGTAACTCGGATGCCACGGCCCCGGTGGTTTTTTTTTTTTTTTTTTTTTTTTTGCGGGGGGAGGGATGGAGTATTCGAAAAATGAATAGAATTTAGACGACAGGTATTATTTCTGTCACTCTGATTTACGCGCCATCAGCCTCCCCGCGCCTCTGGTGAAAGGTGGGGAACAGCATGGGCTGGCACAAAGCAGGCCCTCAGATACGTGTTGACGTATGGAGCGACGAAGCAGCGTAGCCAGAGAGCCACAGAACAGGCTTTTAGAAAAAAAGTTTAGGGCGGGCATTTTTTGGAGGGCGGCGGGGGGGAACCCACTCCCACATCTTTCTAGAGGTGTGCTCTGGAAAATCCTCCCGATACCTCGTGATTAGGACCTTTGTTTTGTAACGCTGGCTGCTTACACAGGCTGATTATGTGGTTGTCTTCTAAAGGTCACTAGACTGTTTCCACCGCTTGTTGGAGGGTGAAAAGTCTGAGTTTCAACATGTGCCGCAGTAGTTGCAAGCTTACGCACTCCTTGACGGCTTCGCAATCTCTTACTGCTTCTTGGCATTTACAAGACACTATGAATGTACTTTCTGGTTACGTTTTTTTCCCCCTCCCCAGGCAGCAGGTATATCGTGATGGGCCACATCTACCATAAGAGACGCCAGCTCCCTACGGCTCTGCTCCAGGTCCTGAGAGGACGGCTCCGACCCGGAGATGGACTGCTCAGGAGCAGCAGCAGCTATGTGAAGAGATTTAATCGAAAAAGGGACGGGCAAGTGCAAGATGCAGTTCACACCCAGTGCATCTGAAACGTCCTATCCTTGGGCTTTTGGGAGAGACTTGGCATTCAGCAACGAGATGGGGAAGGGCCTGTCTCCACGTGATGGGGTCTTCCTGTGGAGTAGGGCCCATAGCTCCTTCTGGAACTGATTGTGTCATTCCAACTCTAATCTTCAAGTTGCCACTTATTTACGAGATGCCTCTTCGATGGTACGCTTCAGAGCTCCCTGGCAAAGCTGTTCAGCTCTCGTGGCAGTTATTCACGCGGCTCAGATAACTGACCTGTCCAGTTAACACATCACTGCTTCGTGTTGTTTATTTGTAATTATTTTAATTTAAATACACTCTTCAGTAGAAATAGTTCACAAAAAACATTTCCTTGATTTTAAATATACAACTTTGAATAGGTTCTATCACGTATCAAACCCAAGTTTCATACTAAAACCATCACATTTTAAGTTCTGTACAGACAGTGCACTAGTCAAAAGACATGTATTGAAATGTCATTTAGATCAAACACTAGGGTCAGAACTCAAGACAAGTATTAAAGTTTTACACTTAGAGTACTAATGGGCTTAATTCAAGCAAAATATTCAAACAAGTGTTCCTGATGTACCAAAATGTGATAAATGGTTTATTTTCATGCCTCCCTGCTCCTAAAAACGTATGTTTTGTGCCAGACTGGCAACTATCCCAATGCTAAACATATTCTGGGTGTATCTGATGTCATTTTTCTATTAAGACCAAGTATCGTGTTTGTGTTTGTAAAGTAGTAAATCTTGCCTTGAAATCAGATCTTGGATGCACCTGGTTTTTTTAGCCTCACTGAGCTCTAAAGGTTTGGGAAAAAGCCTTCCTCAAACATACTCCAAAAACTCTGGAACCAATATGCAATAACAGCTTGCAAGTATGTGAATTTTAAACATTTTCCAGTTGGTTTGGAAAAGGTTTAATCACTAGCTGAATTTAATATTGATTTTATACTTGAGTCCCCAAAGACATTAACAGGTTTTTTTTTTTTTTTTTTCCCAGAAGACTTAAGCTGTAGATCAGTTAAGCTGAAACACGTGAATAGAGACACGGATAATCCATGATTGGAGATCACTGCCTATGGAAAGATAAACAGGAACTGCACCAAAGAAGAAAAAAACCCAGCCTATTCTGGTCTCAGAGATGTGCTCAGGGAGCTCAAGATGTGTTCTTTAGAACATTAGTCTTTAATGGCCACACAGAAGCACTGTATACCTAAGGGATGTTTAGGACAGGACCATAGAGCATCCACAAGGAAGCAGTAGCCTAAGACAGAACATCCAAGTGTGATGGGAGAAACTGTCACCTTATTTGTCCCAAATGGGGCAAAAACATAAAAAAAAAAAAAAAAAAGACATTTTTTTTTTTAACATTTGAGAGATTCTGATTATTCTGTGGTAAAGGATTACTGAAGGAGTTTTAGAGAATTTTCCAAAAATGAGTCTTGCCCACACTTAATAAAAGTCATGCTACAATTGTTTCTCAGGATGAATCGACTGCATTATTTATAATGTGAACTATCTGGCAGGAGATAAGCAGAGATTGAAGAGCTTCTGGCTTAGCTTTCTTTAGGATAAACATGAACTAAGACATACGTAGCACCAGTCACAAAAACCAAAGCCAAATCTTTAAATGTGAAAAGACTAAGTGGTGATCTTGAATAACACGGTGAGGAAAACTGCAAAATGGCCAAATAGATAAATTATTGGTTGGATGGTCGCAAGTTAAAACATTAAGAGTTATATAAATAGCTTTGGTTGAAAAAGGAGGGGGCGAAATCATTTTTACTCAAAGCCCGAGGGTTACGGTTTGTTTAGACCAACCTGACAATACTGCTTCTGAGGAGTTTTGGAAGTACACAGTGACAAAATTGTGTGATCTGTGTGATAGCTGGAGGTCAAACAGCATGTAACACACCGGCAGGCCAGCTTTTTAGAAACTGCCCCGTCAGAGTTATGGCCATCGTTCAAGAATCAGATTGCAGTGAGAGACAGGCGAGGCTCCAATGAGGTAGAAGAGTGGTGGGCGAGGGGCGCATGTGCACAGGGAGTAGGGGGCAAACTGATATTCCCAGGTTAGGCAGAAAAGGTTAAGAATCTCATTTTCAATATTCAGTCAGTACCTTGGATGCAATCTGTATTTTATGGAAATTTTTAAGTAGCAAATTCATTGTAGTTCCTAATATTTTTCTCCTACTGATAGATTTTTTCTTAGCCTGTGGATTTGTGCTCCAAAGACTAATCTGTGCACATGTAATAGCCCCTCATCAGTAAAATACTCCATTGCATTCCAGAACTCAAGTAGCACCCCTCCTTTGAATTAAGCTGTTAGAACTCAAAAAAATAAAAGTACCTGTCTTGCTTTTAGGTCCATAAAAATATATATACCTTTATTTGGTACTAACTTTTTACTTAAAGTTTTTAAAGGTATCCCTTGGCACTGTTTGTTTGTATTTCCCTTCAATCATTTTTAAGGTTGATCAAACACACATATATGCAAACACCTCAAACCGGACCCAGCAACTGTGACCCAATTTCAGGTTCAGAACTTTTCATTTAAAGCTTTTTAGTTGAATTTGGTCCAAATTGGATCAAATGGGGTGTGATCTTATAAGAAATGTCTTTTTCAGTAGCTTGAAGTACCCAGGAGTACCCCCAGGATATTTCAGGTGATTAAAAATACCTCTCAGCTGGCTCTTTCCCCTCAAACACAAGACACTCTGCCCATGAGATAGCACCATTCTCTCTTTCAGGACGAGAAACTGGAGGCTTCCAGGGAACAGCCTCAATCACCTTGCAGAGCGGGAGCTGCAATAACCCTGGAGCTCTATCTAGCTCAGCCCGACTGTGCATGTTTAAAAGCTCACCACCAGGCTGACTCTTTAATATCAAAAAAAAAAAAAAAAAAAAAAAAAACAGATGAATACAAATAGGGAAAGAACCTCAATTTACAGATTCTGGGAAGGTAGATTAGAAATAGCAAATGTCAGGGTCTCTAACACTCCAGGCCATTTGAAATATAAAGACAGTTGTTTTACTTTAGAAAAATCTCTGAAAGTTCACAATTTTTTTTTTTAACCTATTGCGGGACATTAACTAAAATACAAATTCTCCAGACTCTGGAGACTGGGAGAAAAAAGCCTTCCCAGTATTATGAAAATAGTTATTATGAAAAGTTTTCAAGGATTGTGAACTTGGCAGATAGAACATAACAAGCACCGATAATACTTTTAGTCAAGGAAATCTACTGATGCAAATTACATTTATTTACAAGCCCAAAGTCTGGGTAGAAAAATCCTAACTGCATATCACAAATGTGCATTCTACTACTTGGATTATTCAAAGGAAAATTGCTGTATATCTTACTGAATAGCAGGAGGTTGTCAAAGAATACTCCTAGAAAAGCAGCTTTGAAACTCATTATGTGTTATAAGAATGTATGTTTTTCAAAAATTACTTCTGAAAGACTAAATCTCTGTAGTTGATAAAACTATAAAATGTCTATTTATTTGGTGATAGAAATTGCAAAAGGCTTTATACTATTAAATATACATATGAAATTAATATTTTCCTAGTCTGAGGATTCCCATAAAATTTACCTTTTTGGTACAATTCGGCAATGCCAACGGCTACAGAAAATATATTAACCAACCAAACCACTGTTTCATTAGAAACTGCACCAGATCCAATGTCAAAAACATTACTTTATTTTTCTAGGATGAAATGTCCTATTACGTACAAAAAGAATTGTTTAGAATTTGCCACAATCTTTTAAAAACATAGCAATCTATTGCCTACAGGTAGGAAAGTTCTTGCCGCAACAAGTTGTAAATGATTAAGCCCATATATCTCTCTCTATATATATATATGAATAAATAGTACAGAAATACTGTGATGTGACGAGATGCAGAATGATTTTATAATTCATTAAAATGTAGGATTCTTGCATCAGCACAGTGCATACAATAGGTAACATTTTTTAAAAGTAAAAGGACAAAATAACCTGCATTTGACTACTTCCATGTTAGTATTTTAAGCAAAAACTTTGTCTTCATGTTCTCATATTGAGCAGTTAGTCTCTTTAAGTTTGTAAGCAGAGGTTTATAAGTGACGTTTTATGTACAAAAAGTAATGGGCTTCATGAGATAAAATTAACCCAGAATAACCTGCACACCTGAGTCTGTGATAAGGAAGAACTGGGAATTGGAGCAACATCTTTCTTTCAAGAAACTAAGGTCTGGGGAAGGTTTTGCATAGGAGGGTGATACTAAACAGAAGGAAACTTTAAAAAAAAAAAAAAAAACATGATTTGACAAACTCCAGAAATTGGTAGGACAAAGCTAATATGAATTAGTGCAAAATCTAGTAAAACTTTTGCAAAGCTGCATAAACCAACTATGGCAGATCTTACAGAAGCTATTATTACAATGCAGTCATACAATGTGTAAGGTTAGAACACCTAAAGGAAAAACATGCAAAATACACCTTCCTCTGCTGTTTCCATTTTTCTCCTACTGCTCACACCATTTTTTCTCATGTGGGGGGAAAAAAAAACCCAAACAACTTAACCAACAAAGAAATACAAAATGGATGAAGTAACTTAAAAAATGCCCTTCGTAAAATATAAGTAGCTGTCTGTAACTGATAATTTGCCTGGTATAATGGACAGATGAAGGCAATGTGTATTTTGCCACATTACTGTTTTTATTAGTACGATCAATTGATGCAACAGGATTAGCACCCCTGAAGAGTCTTCTCTGATGTGATGACAGTGGGCTGGGAATTGTAAAGTGAAGGGCCCTTACTGTCTTGGAGAAACCCAGGTGAAACCCAGGTATGGTTAGATTCTTCAGCCTTTTCTTTACCTTACAGCCCTCCCGTCCCCTCAGAGGCTTACAGATAATCATTAGCGCACATTCAAAGACACCATCTGTGGGAGAAAAATGATCTCCATTTATTTTGTTTCATATACATCCATAGTTGAATTTTAATACAAAAAGAAAAAAATTAGAATCTGACAAATGTTTACAAACAAGATACCTTCAAATAGATTTTTACTCAGTTTAGCCTGGTGCAGAGTAAATGACAAATTGTACTGTTATATTCAAGGCAACAGAGTCTGTAGTCCAGGACCACTTAGCCCAACCTTTATGCAAGCTTAATTTTTATCTACCATGAACAATAAACTCATTGTTGATTCCCAGTTGTGTGTGTGTGTGTATGTGTGTGTGTGCACATGTGTACATAGCAGCTCCTTTCATAGAAAGAAAAGACATCTAGAGGTCGTCTTGTACTTTTACCTACAGGAATCATGATAAGATACAGAATGGATTACGTGTAACCGGGGCTGGATTTTATAAGAAAAAATAATTAGCTGACAAATGAGGGCAGCAATAAAAAAGCGTCTTTTTTGCAACAATAAATAAATACAGTCAAAAGTTTTCTGTGAGACTCTAAACCAGCTTCTTCACTGAAGAGCAGACGTGGCATTTCCATGGAGTTACACTTGACCCCATATTATCTTTTTTTCTTGCTTTCTTTTTTCTTTTTTTTTCAATAAACAAAGTTTTCCCGCTTCTGCCACAATAGTAAAACCATTTGATCTTGACAAGATAATGGTGTCGTTGACTTTGCTTTTCCCTTGTCCGTTGGACAAAATTGGCCAAGAATATAATTGGACTGTTATGACCAATAAAAACGAAGTTTAGGTCAAGTCTTGTCAGGATAACCTGACTAAAAACATCTGGCTCCTTAATTTAAAATAGTTCAGACAACCAGATTCTTGCCGTGTTTTATGTTAGGTTAACACGCTGAACTTTAAGAAGCTGTAGACTGCAGTTTGTTGTTATGAGACCTACAGAATACAGAAAAAAGGGAACAATTAAGCACCCTTCATTTTTGAAAACAATGATGCTTTATGCGGATGCCAAGGTCGGTCTGTCTGGGGGAAGCAGCCATGTTCTTTCATTCACCCTTGGCAAGCAAATATATGAGAGCAAGTAAGAAAATTTTAAACTAAAATAGAAATTTTCACTGTACACTGAAACATGATAGTTCACTGGAAAAGGCCATTATTAAAATATATATATATATATATTTTTTTTTTCATCTAATAAAGATTACACACTTTTAGCCAGAGGGACAGATAGAAACATTTACAGAAGCATTACCATTGTGGTAAAGGTGTGTGCGCACGCGTGTGTGTGTATGTGTGTGTGCATGCTTATTTACATTGATTTGGGGAATATGAAGAAAAAATTATATTAAAAAAAGAAATAGCAGTATTAAAATCACATTTTTCTATTAAAGCCCAGAAAGTCTCCTTTCTAGTTTCACAGTTTTATTCACAACTTTCGTTAGTAAAACCAAATTACTGTACAATTACCGGAACTATGTCAAAGTATGGTCTATTGCAATAGTGTATATAAATACAGTATTCCAAGAGTTTACAATTCTTAAATACATTGTTCAACATGGCTGCTAGAATAAACGGTTTACTACTATACATATATTTTCAACATTAAAAAATTATATTACTAATATGAACTTTTGGGGGGCAATTTTGAATTAGGTAATCACGTGGTGCAATAAAGAAAGAGTGACCCCAACATCCAGTTCTGATTCCAGTTAAAAATTCAGACTAAAGATATCAGAATCTGTAAGAAAAGAAAGAACATGGATGGTATAAATGATGAATTATAACAAAGTACAGTAATGAAAATAATGTATAAACAATGCTGGAGACCATAAATTAAAAATGGGGAAAATATGGCAATGGAAATATTGGAAACCCATAAATCAATCAAATTTCAATGAATGGCTGCTTAAGGTTTCATTCTGCCTTAAACCTGGAAATCAACAAAACTTCCCTAAAATCTCCTCACATTTTATTTCATATCATAGAATTGAGCAAACTTTTCAATTTGCTCACACATTTCTTAATGAAAATTATGTAAATTAAAAAAAATTAAAAAGCTACAAAAACTAACTAGGTGACAGGCTCTCCTCAGCAGCCCCTGTACTGTGCAGACCCTACCCCTGGGCCTCCTCTCCTTTCCCCGATTCCTTTGGCCACAGGACTGCTTTCCTCTCCTTGGGCAGCTGCTCTCATCCCCACTTTGGGTTCTGCCTGCAAGCCTGGTAGCAGGGTGGGATTCAAGCCCCCCGGCTTCTACCAAAGACTAAAGCCTTTTACTTAAAAAACCCATTTCAAAAATTTAATTGGAGGAAGAACTGCCTGAGGTATAAACAGAAAACAGGGAGAGATTTAAAGTAAGTTGTGGTCCTCTGTCTGAAACTTTACTCAACCTGAAGTCCAGGCTCCCTAGGATCAATTACTTTGAACTTCAGTTCTTGGGTAGGTAGATTTCTTATACTATTTCTTGTTTTATCAACTTTATATTGCTTAAATCTTGTTACGGCAAATGAGAACAAAGCTCACATAACCATTTTCCTGCTTCTCTTCTTGAATCTAAGTTTTACTTCTAATTTTAAATTAAATCTTTTTGTGCTTTGTCTATAGGTTGATTCTAAAAGTTGAAAATCAATGTATTGTTTACATTATGAGGACTGTGTAAATATCTTTTCTCCTTGTGGCACCTGCTCCTTTGCTGAGAGGGCATTCTTAGCATTCCTATACAATTTTACGTTTTTCATGGAATCTTGAATTGCCTTTCTTTTTTTTTTTTTTTTATTTTTTATTTATGATAGTCACACACACACAGAGAGAGAGAGAGGCAGAGACACAGGCAGAGGGAAAAGCAGGCTCCATGCTCCGGGAGCCCGATGTGGGATTCGATCCCGGGTCTCCAGGATCGCGCCCTGGGCCAAAGGCAGGCGCCAAACCCCTGCGCCACCCAGGGATCCCCTTGAATTGCCTTTCATTTTTTCCTCACTAACATTCTTAAGCTAATTATCTAATGTAAGAATCATTTCTCCCCCCAGACACCTTCCTTCTGGGAGTGTTCCATTCTCCTGCTCCTGTTTGGACTGCTTGCTGCACTGGCCTGCCTTGCAACTATCATCCTGGGTCACAGTAATTCATATTGTTTTCTTGAACCTCTTGTTTCTTGGACCCAAGATCTTTTGTTTTCTTATTTGCTTCTTTATTTTGCTAGTGCACATCATAAAATAACTTGCTAAGAAAGGCTGCATGGGAAGGAGCCCCTTTATGAGTCTTCCATGACTGAAGATGTATTTTTCTGCTCCTGCATTTGATGGTTTGGTTGGACACAGAATTTTAGGCTGAAATTCTTTCCTCAAACTTTTATTTAAAGGTTTTATTGATTTATTCATGAGAGACACAGAGAGGCAGAGACACAGGCAGAGGGAGAAGCAGGCTCCATGTAGGGAGCCCGATGCAGGACTTGATCCCGGGACTACAGGATCATGCCCTGGACTGAAGGCAGACACTTAACCACTGAACCACCCAGGGATCCCACCTCAAACTTTTAGATTCATTCTTCCAAAGCTCTCCAGCATTCCATATTGTTAGAGAAAAGTCTGATACCAGTCTAATTCTTGTTACTTTAAAAGTTGTTGCACATTTCTTTAGAAATTCTGAGAAGACCTTCTTTTATCCTTGGCATCTGGGGTTTTTACAGTGATGTATATGCGGAATGGACTTTTTTTCCATTTGTCCAGCTGACTTATTATGTTTATAAACTGTCCTCATCATTTCATACCCCACTCCATCTCCTTATTCCATAAGAATGTAAGCTCCACAAGGATTCAATATATAAGACATACAGCAGGGTCTCAATTTGCTGAATGAATGAATTTGTTTTCCCTGGATTTCAAGTCTTCTGCCTCTCACCAGTTCAGGGAGATTTTCTCACATTAGTCTTTTGATAATTTCCTCTCCTCAGTCTTCTCTATTCTTCCTTTCTGGAATTTCCATTAAGTGAATACTGGATATGCTATAGTACATTTTTTCCTCTCATTTTTTTATCTACTTGTCTTCTTGTCCTTTATACTGAGAAAGTCCTTGATTTTAACTTTCACTGCTTATAGTAAGTTTAGATTTTTTTTATAGCCACTCTTCCTGGTTTTGTTGGTGTTGTTGAAAGATTTTATTTACTGAGGAGAGAGTGAGCACAAGTGGGCAGACGGGAAAGGAGAAACAGACTCTCTGCTCAGCAGGGAGCCTGATGTGGGGCTTGTGAGCTAAAAGCAGACGCTTAATCACCTGAGTGAGCCACCCAGGCGCCCCTTCCTGATCATGATCATTCTTTATTCCTAATATCCAGTTCACCATTTTGTAGATTCAAGATTTTTTTTTTAAGTAAACTCTACCCTCAATGTGGGGCTCAACCCCAAGACCAAGAATTGCACGCTCTACCAATGGAGCCAGCCAGCCATCCCTAGATTCAATTATCTTCTAAAATTTCTCTTGGGACATGATTTAGATGCAGTTTTTCGGAAAACCTTTTTTTCCCTTCCTGCCCTGGGGTCTCAGCAGCATGGGAGGCCTACAGGCCCTTTATGGGGAAAAAAAATAACCCCCATCAACTTGGCAAGCAGGGCCCTAAGGAGAGAGATGGCCAGGAGAGGGAGCCCTGTGGCCTCTGGTAGGATGCCACCCACATCCGAGGCTTGCTTTGTATTTTTTCAAGTTCTCTTTTGTTTTCTCTGGAATTTATTCTTCTGCTATACCTTGACTTTTCTCTTTTACACTGCAAGCTTTTCTTACACATCTGGCTATCCCTGGTTGTCTGTTCAAACTTAAAAAGAGTAAGTTAAAGGACTTGACAGGTGCCCGCAGAGCCCAATGTATGTGTGTAGGACTGACTGGCCAGTGTTGCCTTAGATCAGAGTTCCTCAATCTCAATACTTTTTTTTTTTAAATTTTTTTTTGTCATTTACTTATGATAGTCACAGAGAGAGAGATAGAGGCAGAGACACAGGCAGAGGGAGAAGCAGGCTCCATGCACCGGGAGCCCGACGTGGGATTCGATCCCGGGTCTCCAGGATAGCGCCCTAGGCCAAAGGCAGGCGCCAAACCGCTGCGCCACCCAGGGATCCCCTCAATCTCAATACTATTGACATTTTGGGGCCAGATAATTCTGTTGATGGGGGAGGGGGGGCTGTCTTGTGCACTGAGGATGTTTAGCAGTATCTCTGACTCTAACTCTTAGATGCCAGCACTACTTGCTACCTCTTAAGTATGACAGCCAAATGTCTCCAGGCATTGCTAAATAGCCCGTGGCGGGGTGTATGTGCAAACTATCCCCATGGAGAGCCACAACTTAAAGGTGACAGGGCTGTGGATGCAACCAACTCTTAGAAACCAGGGGTCTTTATTCTGGGTCCAATTCTCTTTTGTCTACTCTAGTTCTCTATAGACAGTTTATTCCATTTCTTAAGGGAAGAACCTTCTAGACCAGACCTCTCAGTTCTTTGGGCTTTCAACAGAGGTCTGTACTCGGGTTAGGAAGGGTGACTAGCCCATATACAGATCTTCAGTTAACTCCTCTCTCGCCTTCTATTATATGTTGGAGGCTCTCAGTGGTTCTACTGGCCAGCAACCTGTTACCTCTTCTAAAGAGCACTGTAGGAGGTGTCTGGGCAGTGGTGTCCCTGCTCTGTCAGCCAATCTTCTTTTATCTGCTTTCTGTATTCTAGAATCTGTTAAAATTTCATCAGCTAACTTTCACCGTATTCTTTTCATATTCTGAGTTTATTTCTTTTTATCCCTTTATTATTATTTTACTAGGAACTTTATCATACTGAGTAAATCTTTTTTCATTTTAGGTTTTACAGCTAATGGGTTAATAGAAAGGAGATGATACAAATGGGACAGTTTCAGAGATTCTGTAAACTCTCTCATTCTTGGTCTAGAGCTTGCCTACCCACCTGGTTTCCTTTCTTCCTTGCCTATACTTTTTGATTCCTGGGCTTGACCCTCACCATTAGTTTATGTAAAGTGATTCTAAAACGTAGTTCTTGATCTACCTTGTTGCAGGACAAGGAGAGAGACAACACCCCATGGACTGTCCTCAGAGGAAACTAAACAGAGCACTGATTCTTACGTTTTAATAAGCAAAGTTCACTAGATAATAGAGGTGCCCAGATCCTGAACCAGCCAAGACCAACCCAATCTGAATATCTAGAGACAATCAAGCATGCAAGTTGGTGAATGGGGGGGATGGTGAGTAGTGAATCTCAGAGGTACAAAGTGGTGGCAGTTGGAAAGGAGAACAGGCTTCTGCTGGAAGGAAGAAAGTCATGGGCTTGAGAAGTGGGGACTGAAGTACAGACACAAAGGCAGAAGGTGCTACATCGGAATATCATGGCAAGTTGCTCAATGCTTCTATGTTACTGGAGGTTCAACAGAAAGGTCTGTGGATTTAAAGCCTAGTTCTGCCCACAGGAAAAATATGCAGAAAAATAAAACATTTTATGATTTCAAAGATATAGCAAACAAATTAAGGAAAGGTACTTAAATCTCTCCTCCTGGTCTTCCTCTAACTCTACCCTATCAAACAGTCATTTTTTTCTTGCTTTTGTAAACTCAACAGGCAAGAGTTCGGTCTTACTACTACTTTTGTATGTGCCCCATGGCACATACATTTAAAATATATATATTTTTTATATACATATATACATATTTTACATTATTTAATTTAATTTTATTTTTTAAAGATTTATTTATTTATTCATTCAGAGAGAGCGAGAGAGAGGCAGAGACACAGGCAGAGGGAGAAGCAGGCTCCATGCAGGAAGCCCGATGCGGGACTTGATCCCGGGTCTCCAGGATCACACCCCGGGCTGCAGGCGGCGCCAAACCGCTGTGCCACCAGGGCTGCCCTATATATACATTTTAAAGAAAAAAAATATATGTCTATATAGTAATATATATTTGTAAAATAAAATATATATAAATAAATAAAATAAAATATGTATTTATGTATTTTATATATATATATATATATATATTTTTTTTTTTTTTAAATTAAGTAAACTCTATTCCCAATGTGGGGCTGAAACTCATGACCCTGAGATCAAGAGTCGACTGAGCCAGCCAGGCCCCCTGGCCATGGCATTTAAGATAGCGCATCTTACCTTCTGTAAGCATCTGGTAAGTGCTTTCTTATTTTAAAAAATAACTTTAATTTTAAGCAGATCACAAACTCAACAATTTTTTATTACTGAGTCTATCTTCTTGCCCTTGGTGGAATATCATAATGCTAGAGTCTTGATTTTTTTTTTAAAGATTCTTGATTCCAAGGATCAAACTGGCCATTAACAGCACTGGCTGATTCCCTAGACAAAACAGTATAAAGAGTTTGAGGAACTAGATTAATTTAGAACACTGAACACATTTTTGCTCACCTGCTTGCCTTGAATCCTTTCAATTTCTGTACAAAGAAGGACTCAAGAACTTCTGCACACTGGTAAAAAGGCGAGTCACTCGGATTGTAGTAACGACAGTTATCAAAAATTTTGGTCATATCTGCCACAAATTCCGTCAGCTTTTCATAATATCGTCTTTGTACTCTTTCTTCCATGGTGGCAAGATCTTAAAAACACAAAATGTAAAACATTTTCAAAGTTTTAAGGCAGCTCCAATGTGAATACTGATAACAGTCCTGATTAACAAGAAAATATATTTCCTGCTCAAACAGTCCTTGAACCAAGCTGATTGACCACTGGAGACTATTTATAAAGCAATTCATGAAGAAAATGGGAGTACTTCTCCAATTCTGGTTTTGATTGGAGGAGTCTAAAATATAAATCTTGGCTAGTGTTATGAAGGCACTTTTATTTTCAGTTAACTACAGAGAATAGCTCTTTATTCAGCTGGGTTGAAATAAAAGAAGCTACATCAACACCATCAATATACATCTAAGTACAATACATTTTTACATGCAAACAATTATGGATTTATATTACATGTACAAAGAGGAGGAGAGAATCCAAAATTATGAACAAAAAAATCTTTGTGGTTTTGTGATACCTGTATTAGACTTTAATAACATCATTTTGTTGCCTTTATTAATTTTTATTGTTACCTTATATTGGACACAAGTAATACTGACTTAAAACTTACAGTGGCAAGGACATAAAGTGTCTACTTAAAGGGACAATATTGGCTGATACGAATAAAAATATTGGTATGTTAATAGTACAGGCAGTATGCAGAAATGACCAATAATTCAGGTGGTAAATAGGTAAGTGCTTTGGAATACACTGAGCTAAATCGACCTGAAATAACATTAAGTCCTTGGAGTAAGCTGCATTTAAAGGAAAATTCATATACAATTTCACATAAAAACCTGGGAGAGTAAAAAGCTGGTGATGTAGGATTGACAGACTGATAGCACAATTCCAAACAAAATCTCAATGATTATTTTAGAATTTGAGAAAATTTTTTTTGAGAAAATTATTTTTTAAAAAGATTTATTTACTTATTTTAGAGAGAGAGAGAGAGAGAGAGAGTATACAAGTGGGGGGAGAGGCAGAAGGAGAGGGAATCCTCAAGCAGACGCCCCACTGAGAGTGGAGCTCGAGACAGGGCTTGATCCCAGGACTTTGATATTATGACCTGAGCCGAATCAAGAGTTGGCCACTTTAACTGACTGAGCCACCCAGGCACCCTGAGAAAATGACTTTCAAGTCCAAGAATATCTTAAGCAGCATTTATTTTTTTTCCTTATTTTATCTATTTATTTGGTAGAAAGAGAGCTCAAGTAGGGGGAGCAGGAGGCAGAGGAAGAGGGAGAAGCAGGAAGAGCAACGTGGGGCTTGATCCCAGGACCCTGGGATCATGACCTGAGCCAAAGGCAGATGCTTCACCAACTGAGCCACCCAGGGGCCCCTCTAAGAAACAATTAAAAATAGAAGTAATAGGAGAGAGTTTAATCTATCAGACATTAAATATTATAAAGCTGTGAAAATGGAAAAGTATGGCACTATGCAGGATGACACAAACCGTAACAGAACTATACTCAAAATAGGAACAGACTTAACTGTGTTCAGTATAAGAATTTTATAAGTTGAAGATGTCTTTTCTAATAAGCAGAAGAAAAAATTCATTAATAAATTGGGTTGAAGGAATTGCCCACATATCTGAAGAAAAAAATTCTACCTCACACTAATGTCAAACAAATTTTGGGTAAATTAAAACTTAAGGACAGCAATGAAAACCATAGAAAGTACTAAAAGATACAACATTGTGAGTGTAATTAAACACTGAATCGTGGATATTAAATAATATATATGTATATTTATATTAAAGATTTACTTATTTATTTGAGAGAAGGAAAGAGAGTGAGAGAGTGCCAGCAGGGGGAGGAGCAGGAAGCAGGAGGAAGAAGCAGAGAAATGCTGAGCATGGAGCCTGACATGGGCCTCCATCTTACAACTCTGAGATCATGATCTGAGCTGAAATCAAGAATCAGATGATAAACCAACTGAGCCACCCAGGCACCCATGTTATATATATCTTGACACATGTACACACGCATTTTTGATGGTTCCAGTTTATGTAAATAACGAGAAAAACTTTAGCCAACATGCTTGATGAAACTTCAAGCAAGACTTGGGCACATCTGCTGTGTGTAGTAGGTCCAGTGAGCTATACAGGAAAGAGTAAACACTTAACACGGCATTGTTTTTGCACTTAAGTTCTGGGTACTTACTGCCTAGATAATTTTAATAATGTACACGAACATTTTGTGATTCCTTTTTTTTTTTTAAAGATTTATTTACTCAGGATCACGCCCTGGGCAGCAGGTAGGCACTAAACCGCTAAGCCACCCAGGGCTCCCATATTTTGTGATTCCAACTTAATTAGATATCCCTTAGAAAGAAAGTACTAGGGAGGCACCTGAATGGTACAGTTATGATCTCAGGAATGCAGGGCAGAGCCCCACATCAGGCTCAGCACTCAGGGTGGAGTCTGCTTGAGATGCCCTCTCCCTCTCCCTCTCCCTGTATCTCCTGCTTGTGTACTTGTTCTCTTTCTTTTTCAAATAAACAATTTTTTTAAAACCCCTAGGAGAACGTATAAGTGAATATTTATAAATCTGGGGAAGGACAAAGGACTGAAATCTGATTCCACAGGCAGAATTCATAATGATGAACAGATTTAAATCCAAAAACATTTAAAAAGATCTTATGCCAGGGAGCCTGGGTGGCTCAGTAGGTTGTGTCTGACTCTCGATTTCAGCTCAGGTCATGATTTCAGGGTTGTGGAATTGAACCCTGCATTAGGCTCTGCACTCAGCAGAGTCTGCTTGTCTCCTTCCCTCTGCTCAATCCCCTGCTTGCACACTCTTTCTCCCTCTCTGAAATTAAAAAGAAAAAATCATATGCCCACCCCCCCAAATCAGTATAAAACTTTGTTTTATTTTTTTTTGTTTTTTTATAAATTAATTTTTATTGGTGTTCAATTTACCAACATACAGAATAACACCCAGTGCTCATCCCGTCAAGTGTCCCCCTCCGTGCCCGTCACCCATTCACCCCCACCCCCCGCCCTCCTCCCCTTCCACCACCCCTAGTTCATTTCCCAGAGTTAGAAGTCTTTATGTTCTGTGACCCTTTCACTTTGTTTTATTTTTAAGTAGGCTCCATGCCCAGTGTGGAGCCCAATTCAAGGCCTAAATTTATGACCCTGAGATTAAGATCTGAGCTGAAATAGAGTCAGATGTCCAACCCACTGAGTCACCCAGGTCCTTGGTGTATATAAAGAGACCTTAAGGAACACTGACAATAATATGAATATCACAAGAGAAAAATGGGTAAAATACATAAATAGGAAACTCACATAAAATTCAAACAATAAGCATATATCACTAGTTACTGAAGTCATGCAAAGCCAAAGAACCACTTTCTTCATACAAATTAGCAAAAATTAAAAATAACACATCAGCCTATTTTCAATGATTACCTCCAAGGCAGAGTATGAGTGGTAGTACATTTTATATTCATACTCTACACCTCTGTAAAATCTGTACACCATAATATTTTGAAATAAAAGTATGATAACAGTGTTTTCAAGAGTAGAGAGGGAAGGATACATATATACGCTATTATTGGAAACTGGTTCAATGTGCAGAAGTGCAATTTGAAAATATTTATCAAAAGGCTAAAAAGAAAAAAAAAACCAAAAGGCTAAAAAGTATATATATATATATCCTTTGACCCAGAAGTTCTTTTTTTTTTTTTAAATATTTTATTTATTTATTTATGAAAAAGAGAGAGAGAGAGAGAGAGAGAGAGAGAGAGAGAGACAGGCAGAGAGAGAAGCAGGCTCCATGCAGGGAGCCCGACATGGGACTTGATCCCAGGTCTCCAGGATCATGCCCTGGGCCAAAGGCAGGTGCTAAACCGCTGAGCCACGCAAGGATCCCTGACCCAGAAATTCTAATTCTAGGAATTTCTCCTCAGAAAACAAACAAATGCAGGCAGACTCATAAACAAAGATGTTCACAGAAGTGTTGCTCATAACAGCAAAAACTCCACAGTGAAAAACCCATTAATTGGGGTGATTATCTTAATGGCATATGCTTACAATGATGTAGGTCTATACCATATATTTTCACATGGTATGAAAAAGGTACTGACAGGTTTATAAAGTATACTATAAAATATGGTTTATTCATAACCCCATTTCTGCTTAAGAAAATTTATAAAGCTGCTGATCTTGTTGGCTCCTTCATTCCCTGAAGAGAAACTACTATTTTCAATTTAGTCTGTATCTTTGTAGACCTCTTTTATGCATTTCTAAATATATTTATGTGCCCTTAGAAAATACAGAACTGTGTGCTTGCTTCAGCAGTACATATACTAAGAAAATACAGAACTGTTTGCTGTTTGAAACCTAGGTATTTTTCTGTAACTTTGATTCTTCTTTCAACAGTATGTCTTTTTTTTTTTTTAACAGTATGTCTTGGAAATCTGTATTATCTTCCTGTACATACCTACTACATAAGAGGATGTTTACCTTGGTGGTATAAAAAAAAGAAGAAAAGAAAAAGACCAGAAAGAATTTCAGTTAAATAAGTAAGGTATATTCAATTCACAGACTATAAAAAGGCCTTAAAGTCATGTTATTGAAGGTTAAACACAGGAACATGTCAAACAGATGATTATATAAATATATTTTTAAATTTACTTATTTTGGTAGTTTCTATACCCAACATGGGGCTCGAACGCTCAACCCCAAGATCAAGAGTCACATGCTCCCCTGACTGAGCCAGCCAGGCACCCCTCAAACAGATTATCATATGATCTCAATTTTAACACAGACAGACAGACAGACACACACACACACATACACACTGCACACCAAAATGGGATTCAGTGAGGAAAAGATAAAGGTACATTTTATCTTTTCTTACTTTTTTCTTTTATTTCCTAGATTTTCTACAATTCCATTATGTTTAGAAGTAGAATTATCTATTTAAATAAATAACCTCACATACTTTGTCAAAATAGATTATACAAATCTAAAATATGTAGGAGGATTAGCTTCTACTTTCAACATCAGAACAGAGGTAATGGCTACTTGGTTATTTTTCAGATAGCTTTAACTAAGCCCTCACTTATCTCCCCTTCGTGTTTTTCCCCCTCTTTGAAGTTGCCATCAAACACAAACCATTCTCATTTTTAAAAACTGAGATATTGGGGATCCCTGGGTGGCTCAATGGTTTCGTGCCTGCCTTTGGCCCAGGGCGCAATCCTGGAGTCCCGGGATCGAGTCCCGCGTCCGGCTCCTGGCATGGAGCCTGCTTCTCCCTCTGCCTGTGTCTCTGCCTCTCTCTATGTCTATCATAAATAAATAAAAATAAATCTAAAAAAAAAAAAACACTGAGATATAACTGACATACAACATTGTTATCAGTTTTAGGTGTACCACATAATTATTTGACATATATATATGCTGCAAAGTGATTACCCAATAAGTTTAATTAACATCTATCACCAACCACGTATAGTAAAAAAATTTTTTCCTTGTGATGAGAATTTTTCAGGTAGCTGTCTTAGCAACTTCTAAATACACTGTAAAATCCTCTTCATTTAGGAGCACCTGGGTGGCTCAATGGTTGAGCATCTGCCTTTGGCTCAGGTTGTGATTTTGGGGTCCTGGGATCGAATCTTACACCTGGCTCCCCACAGGGAGCCTGCTTCTCCCTCTACCTATGTCTCTGCCTCTTTGTGTGTCTCCCATGAATAAACAAATAAAAATCTTTTTTTTTTAACAAATAAAAATCTTAAAAAAAATCTCATTTAAAAAATGCTTAGCTTTTGAAATACTTTTTTTTTTTTTAAGATTTTTATTTATTTGAGAGAGAGGGAGAACACAGAATCAGAGGAAGAAGCAGACTCTGCTGCTGAGCAGAGAACCTGACACAGGACTTGATCCCAATGCACCAAGGGAATGCAGAGTTAAATGTTAATACACACTCTCAATTTATCCTACAAGTTACCACACTAACTTATTCTTCCACCAGCCTCGCTCAACACATCCTTACAACAGATCAGTCTCATGGATGGCAAATATCTGCTGAGATCTGAAGATACTCCATACTCAACTCAAGTACCTACCCATAGGTTCCTTAATAACACCGTAATAATCTGGTGCATCATTAGGATCCACTGGTTCAAGGAAAGGCCAGGCCATCTTATGGGCCTATAATGGGGGCAGAAAACAACATTATTGTCAGGTAGAAACACAAATTTCATTTATGTTTCCCAACTGAGTTATTGTATCAATCAACCCTTAACTCCAGAAGTCAGTTTTAAATCTGAGAGATGAAATTATTTTATACTTAGAGGAGTTTTGCTCTAGACATAAATCATCTCAGGTGAGCATACTTTGCACTAATGATTCTCAAAGAGTGGTCTGAGGACCTCCGCTGGGGCAGTGAAGCACTACTTAGAAGTTCAAAATCTGTATTCTTATCCCTAACATGACAACCTGCTACCTATAAAAGTGGAGTGGAATAAGTTCAAAGTGTGGAATGGTTACCAGTACTGACTAATGATAATGAGGTGGCAGAGACATGCAATTAAGTAACTTGACCCACATATGGAGACCACTGTTCTCTTTTCAGTTATTTAAAAAAAATTTTTTTTTCTCTTCAAGATTTTATTTTTAAGTAATCTCTACACCCAATGCAGGCTCGGACTCAATTCCAAGATCAGGAGTTGCCTGCTCTTCTTACTGAGCCAGCTGGGTGTCCCCTCACTAAAGTTTAATCAAACTGTTCAATTTATAGTGGTGAGGTAAACTTTTCTTTAAAAATTAAATCTAGGTTTAAAAAGTGAGTAATTTTAAATACAAGTGTTAGCTTAGGAACAAGTGAGCTCCTGTGTGAATACGGTTAACCTCATGATATTGTTATGTGAAGGACAAGAGTCTTGAGACTTCACTAGCCTCGTCGGGAGTCAGGAAATAATCACAGACTCTGAGACTGGAAGGTTCAAACCCTAGAAATGAATCCAAAGTCACGCTGCTTGACTTCCTCTTCAAACACGACACACAGAGAGGTTTCTCACCTGTAAAGAACGAAGCACCCTTTTTAAACCCTCATAGTCTTTCTCCGTTAGTGGTGTGAGCACTGTCATGGCATCCTCTGTTGACTGGCACTGTGGACAGACATACTCGTCAATGAGCTCTGCCTCACTTTGCAAGATGCCAACGCAGCGCCCATGGTACCAATTCTGACACCGATCACAGCCAATATAAAATCTGCAAGATCCGAAATGGAAATGTGAGTTCAAAACAGACGGGATCACATTGCTTATAATTTACTTTAAAAAGTGATAAAACATGCACCTGAAAAGATTCTAACTCTGGGCATAAAATAGTTTAGTATTACAATCGTTTTAATACTTTTGCAGATTGACATTCAAATGTGTTAATTTAGTGTTTCTGATGTTAAGAACAAGCATTAAAAGTCAAGAACACTGTGGAATATTGGAGAACTAATCTGAAGAAAAATGCAAAATATTTAATTGTCTTTAGAGCTCAAAACGAAATAAAGCCAAAAATCTTTCAACTAGTACTGTATCAAATGGGAAGCTCGTATTGGCCACCCAACCAGGTGTTCAAAATCCTATAAGCTAATAACAGAGTCTCAGAACTTATACTGAATTAGTGATTTTTTCCCCCTAACCTAAAATAAAGCACCATTTCAAACACTGATAAAGTCCAAACAAGTCAGGCTATTTTAATCTCATTAATTTCTATGTTACATATTGAAGAATCAAGTCTACCATTAAACCATATTTTTTTTCCCAATGCATCTCAAACATTCACTATGAAGCAACATAAATTTTGAAGGGGAGGTAAAGAGGGAAAAAAGAGAAAAAAAATTGGAAAGGAATTTGGAATGTAAGTGTATAATATATGCAGAAAAATATCTTGCTTTTTATTTTAAAATAAATAACCAGTCAGAGCAATTTGGCTTCCTAAATTATTAAATATGATGCTCTTATCAGAACTCACTGTGACTCATCATAAGGTGTTCTGCAGATACAGTACAATTCCTCACTGCTGCCCTCTTGTGCCCGTTTACAATCATTACAGATGTACACATCCATTTTCTTAGCCTCCTTTTCTGTGATGCCAACACATTCTCCATGATACCAGTTAGTACAAAGATCACAGCCAATATAGAACCTAAAAGTATTCACAATGAAAATGACAATGTAATTGTCATTTTGAGCTGCATGATACTTAAATCTGTCTTCCCTGTCCTGATTCGCTTTCTTACAGGATAACTTTCTGCAATGAGTCAGCTAAACATCCTGCATCCAACCTTTCTATCCTTGGCAAACTACAGCATCTGACACTGTATCAAGTGTGGAAACATAAAATCACTCACATCAATTTCAACAAATACACTGTTTAGTGAAATATGGATCTTTAAAAACATACTGAAATTTGAAAAAATAAACAACACACTGATGGTAATGTCTCCCTCTTAATGAATGTGTGTAAAACTGGAACAGGCACAAAAACCAAAGCCAAAGAATCAAAGACTTACATCTGTCAAACCTATGCCACAGAAGCCATTTCAAATTCAGGGCTATTTCTTAGATAGGTTTGAAAATGTATCTCACAGTTTAAATTGAAAATGAAGCAAAGCGCAAACACCAAGTAAAAGTTACACTACAAGGAACATGCAGGTCAGCCAGATGTAGAAGATAAATGGTCAAAATATGATATGAAGAAGAAATCTAAGAAAGGTAGATGTAGTAATTCAATTTCTAAGTTTTCTAAATTAACATGGGAATTTAATCTAATTTTAACAGATTATGACATGGGTCAGTTTTTCAATGTAATGTATGTGACAATGTGGAGCGTGACCTGATTAATTAATTGGTAAGGAACTGCTTCAATTCAAAATGGGGGATACACAGCATGGAGTGTGATATAAGAATTGGTAGCAAAAACAGCAAGACGTTCCACTGTAATTGGCGAGGTAGGGCTGTACAAGTGCAGTAATTACTGAGGGTAATCACATCTAGTTAACACTCATGGCTTTTGTAATATAAGATCCCAAATGACAGAACGGATGAAAAATGTCTCTATGACAAACACAGAGTGTATATAAAAGTGCTGACAGGAGCTATGTAGGAATGTCATGTAAAAATCATAGCAAGAATTAGTGTGAATCACAAAGGATCAGACTGGCCTTCCTGACACGGTTCTATCAAAGTGTTTCTTGGTAGACTGACCTAGAGAAAGGGAAGTAGTCCTCAAACTAACCTGTCATATGAATGTAGGGAATAATATATGATTGTATACTTCATCCTATTCCCATTAATTTTTTTCTTTTGAATTTGGATTCCTGCATGATTTTCACTGCCACAGGTGGGGTTGGGCCCTCAAGGTGTTTCCGTATGTTGCCTTCAACAGATGGCGGGCTATGTGTTCTGGACATAAGCTCAGGGCTCGAATTTCAAGTTGTAGTCATTCTCACTAGATTCCCAAACCAGCCTAGTTTGGTACAAGAGATCACAAAATACTCCTAAAATACACTAATTCATCCTAACTAGACAGGGAGTGAATGAACCTGTATACTGAAATTTCAGTAACATGAAAAATATGAAATACTCACAGGAAAATGAGGCAGTTGCAGTAAAATGCAGTAAAAGTTGCAACATATGTTCACGTGTACCTCATTTTATGCAGCTTAAGTATGACAAAAATATTGTGTGTGAAATAAATTTCTGTGATCTGAATATTTTAAATAAGCCAAAGAAGTCTAATTTTTTAAAGTCCATAAACATACTTTTGTAAAGCAAGTAAATCATGTTCTGTTTTGTTCTGTAAATAATTAAATATTCTTTTGCTTAAAGGGAGGCATGTGTATTAGACTAAGGGGAAAATCATTTAGCAGGGCCCCACTCTGCACATTATCTATCATTTCCAATAAAGACAACGAAAAGGGAAGATGCTAAAACTGAAGTGTTTAATTCAACACACAGCTAAATTTAGCAACAAAGAATGTTGATCGAGCACCTGGTTATAATTTTAAATAGCACTGCCAAAGCAGCTTCAATGTTGCAACTTAAAATGTCATTGAAGAGATCACAATTTTATTTTATAAACTTTTTAGGCATCCACTGAAGGCAGATATTAAGCATGGCTAACTCTAATCATACGTGTTTAGCACAATCAAACTTTTTGGTACTGCAAAAAACACTGTAGTTAACCTTGGCTTTAAAAAGCTGGCCTACATTTAAATGCTCAAAATGAAAGCTTAATACTTTGTTGAATGATAATGATAAAAAAATGAAACTGCATTAATGGATTAGTGTTTCTCAAATCTTGTATATATCACCAAATACAAGTCACAACAGTCAAAAACAGCCTCCAGCTGCCATGCTTTATTATCACACATTTCAGTGCCATTCTTGAAGACTGAGTGAAAAGAGCACTCTGGCTTTTGTCCCCAAAAAGAAAGTGGGAGCTTTGACAAAAACAGCATTAAATTTCAGTATCCCAATACAAAAAACACAGAACTGCTTAAAATTAAACAATAAAAAACAAAACCACTCAAATTTGAAACCTTGTGCACCATTCATAGTCAGACAGTCTCTAAGTTTTGATGTAATCATAAGGTTGTGAACAGATCCAGAAAAGATGCTTTCAACTTTGGGCAGCGATAATATACCTCCTTCTCTAGACAGGATTACTGATTGATTTGGAATTAATCCAGAGAGAAGAGGAAAAAGCAAAAGAGCAACAGAAAGCTTGTTTTTGACAGAAAAGAATATGATGAACAAACATGAATCATGAACACATAAAATACAAAATTTTGACTTCTCTAGGGTCGAGTTTAAGAACATCAGATACAAGACCACAAAGGAACATCATTACCCTTACTTTCAACTACTTTCATTGACATTGCTACCAATACACTCATTTTCTTCACAACTGGAAATTTAACAGCTAAACATTTAAGAAAATAAACTAGAGCCCAAAGAGATCTACTCACTTAGATTCATCGTAAGGCGTTTTACAGATACAGTAAAGCTTTGTGTCCTTCTTAGTTTCCTTTGAGGTAGTAGAGATCATTTTCTTCTTCTTGGACTTGGAGCTTGAGTCTCTTTCTTCTTCTCGCTTCCTCTTCTGGGAAGCCACAGGCAGTGTGGCTGTGGCTGTAGCCGTGGACAGGGGACCTGTGTGCTGCGGGGGAGGCGGAGGCGGGGGTGAAGGCGGAGGGGCTGGAGGCGCAGGTGGTGCTGCAGGCGATGTAGCTGCTACTGCTGTGGCCTGCACCATGTCTTTTTCTTTCTTAATTTTCAAGTCTCTCTTGAGCTCTTCCTGTTGTCAATTAAAGACAAGACAAGACTGTCATTCAACTTCTGTAAATGCATGACTTGGCCAAAGGACTTTACATGACCTTCCTTCTGACCTTACCACCCTTGTCTGAGCAGCTGCACAGTCCAGCCTCGTGTGAGGGAGGTTAGTAATCATAGCATCCTAACTATACTTTAAACCCAATAAAAACAACTAGAAATATAAGGTGAAGATTATATAATAAATAAAAGCCTCTAGCTATCTTCAAAGAAGATCTGACAGAAAGATGACCAAGTTTCAGAAAACAGTGCCCTCACTTGGCTTGGCCATGCTGTGTCCTGGTTATTTCAGTTGTTGCTCAGAATGGGGTTTCAAGTGTCCTTACCCACTGGCTGCTTTCCTCTGGCTGCTCTCTGTGTCCTTAGAGTGAGACCCAACATGAACTGAACATGATACTCAAGATGTGTTCTGATCAGCCAAAAGCTCAATGAGGGCAGTCTGGGTAGCTCAGCGGTTTAGCGCCGCCTTCAGCCCAGGGCATGACCCTTGTGACCCAGGATCGAGTCCTACGTTGGGCACCCTGCATGGAGCCTGCTTCTCCCTCTGGCTGTGTATCTGCCTCTCTTTCTCTCTCTCTCTGTGTCTCTCATGAATAAATAAAATCTTTTTTTTTTAATTTTTTTAAAATTTTTTTTATGATAGTCACAGAGAGAGAGAGGCAGAGACACAGGCAGAGGGAGAAGCAGGCTCCATGCACCGGGAGCCCGACGTGGGACTCGATCCCGGGTCTCCAGGATCGCGCCCTGGGCCAAAGGCAGGCGCCAAACCGCTGCGCCACCCAGGGATCCCGAATAAATAAAATCTTAAAAAAAAAAAGCTGAATGAGAGACAGATTTGCCTTGCTTACTATGCTCCTATATCTAGAATTTAGAATGCAGGGAAAGCTATTTTATCAATATACATTTTGACATAAATTAAAATTCTTACATCTCTTCATGAGAAATACTTTATAGACACACCTTTGTTATCTAGTGCCACAACTTATTCTTTGAAATGATGATTATTTCCCTAGAGGAAAAAAAGCCATTGGTCATTGGCATCCATGTCCAAACTTGGTATAAATAAATCGAGCTTTTTTTTTTAATTCTTTTTTTAAAAATTTATTTATTTATGATAGACAGAGAGAGAGAGAGAAGCAGAGACACAGGAGGAGGGAAAAGCAGGCTCCATGCCGGGAACCCGACGTGGAACTCGATCCCGGGACTCCAGGATCGCACCCTGGGCCAAAGTCAGCCGCTAAACCGCTGAGCCACCTAGACATCCCCAATCACTGAGCTTTTAAAATTACACACCAAAAAATTTTTAAGCAATCTCTATGTCCAACGTGGGGCTTGAACTTGACCCCGAGGTCGAGTCACATACCCTAACTGAGCCAGTCAGGAGTCCTGTCAACATCACAAAAATTCTAATAAACCTGAATGGTCTAGTGGTTTAACGAGTCTAATTTTTCTATCTACCATCTAGATAGTCTTGTAAGTGAGAAGGTAAGCTGTACAACTATTCAGCAACCCTTCTCTAAAAAAAAGTCTAAACTTCTTCTGAGGGAAGAAAGTAAACCTTGGGTGTCATTTTCCTAGTTAATATGATGTTTATAACATAATGAAACAGATTTTAGAAAAATCAAGATGATATAGTAGGGTGGGGTGTCTGGCTGGGTCAGGTGGTAGAGCATGCACCTCTCAATCTCAGGGTTATGAGTTTGAGGCCCATGTTGGGCATAAAGGCCACTAAAAAAAAAAAAGATGGTATAGTGGTTAGACACTGATCCACTTCAAGAACATAACAATGACAGTAAAATATAAAACAAAGAAAACTGAAAAGATAGAATCATGTTTGAATTAGATATAAATGTCTCTATAAAATGGAAACACAAAACTGTGCACAAAAAGTACAGGCCTGTGGGACTCGAGATTCAGAACTAGGAGTGGTAGCCCAACAATAAACCAATTTCTGCAGGGAGAGGGGACTCAGTATGCTTCATGGGAGTGGGCCACAAGAATAGGCTCTCTGATTGGCAGAATTAATATTGTGAAAATGTCAATGTTACCTAGGGCAATTTACACGTATAATGCAATCCCTATCAAAATACCATGGACTTTCTTCAGAGACTTAGAACAAATTATTTTAAGATTTGTGTGGAATCAGAAAAGACCCCGAACAGCCAGGGGAATTTTAAAAAAGAAAACCATATCTGGGGGCATCACAATGCCAGATTTCAGGATGTACTACAAAGCTGTGGTCATCAAGACAGTGTGGTACTGGCACAAAAACAGACACATAGATCAATGGAACAGAATAGAGAACCCAGAAGTGGACCCTGACTTTATGGTCAACTAATATTCGATAAAGGAGGAAAGACGATCCACTGGAAGAAAGACAGTCTCTTCAATAAATGGTGCTGGGAAAATTGGACATCCACATGCAGAAGAATGAAACTGGACCACTCTCTTGCACCATACACAAAGATAAACTCAAAATGGATGAAAAGATTTAAATGTGAGACAAGATTCCATCAAAATCCTAGAGGAGAACTCAGGCAACACCCTTTTTGAACTTGGACACAGTAACCGGAGAAGGACAAACAGTGTATGTTCGCATTCATTTGGGGAATATGAATAATAGTGAAAGGGAATATAAGGGAAGGGAGAAGAAATGTGTGAGAAATATCAGAAAGGGAGACAGAACATAAAAACTTCTAACTCTGGGAAATGAACTAGGGGTGGTGGAGGGGGAGGAGGGCGGGGGTGGGGGTGAATGGGTGACGGGCACTGAGGGGGACACTTGACGGGATGAGCACTGGGTGTTATTCTGTATGTTGGTAAATTGAACACCAATAAAAATTAATTTATAAAATTAAAAAAAAAACATAAAAAAAAAAAAGAATAGGCTCTCTGCTTGATATAAGGGTTGGCTGGTCTACACTGCACCTCCAGAATAGAAATAAAAACAAAACTCCTCTCACTTAAATGCCAAATGCAAACCAAATGAAAACATGTGACATGAAAAAAGACAACCAACAGAATCAATAACTGAATCCGGGGCACCTGGACAGCTTAGTAAGTTGCATCTGACTCTTGTTTTCTTTTTTCTTTTTTTTTTTTTTTGACTTTTGTTTTCAATGCAGGTCGTGATCTCAGGGTTTTGAGATGGAACCCTGCATTGGGCTCTATGCTGGGGTGAAGCCTGCTTAAGATTCCCTCTCTCCCTCTGCACACCACATCTACTCTGCTCACATACACTCTGTCTCAAAAAAAAAAAAAAGCGTTAATGTTGGCTCATCAATTTTAACACATGGCCACACTAATTCAAGATGGTAACAGAGGAGACTGGGGTGTTGGGGTGGGGGAGAGGAACAGTATACAAGAACTCTTCCTGCATAATTTTTCTGTAAATGTAAAACTGCTCTAAAATATAACCCATTTAACCAAGAAGAGAGACAAGTAGAAATCATACAAGAACATAAAGGATCAATCACGTATCTTAAAAAGAAAATTATAATTAAAAATTATTTTATTTTTAAAGATTTTATTTATTTATTCATGAGAGACACAGAGAGAGAAGCAGAGACACAGGCAGAGGGAGAATCAGGCTCCTTGAGGGGAGCATGATGTGGGACTCAATCCCAGATCCTGGGATCACGCTGTGAGCCAAAGGCAGACAGCTCAACCACTGAGCTACCCAGGCATCCCAAAAATTATTTTAAAAATATGCTAGTACAGGGATCCCTGGGTGGCGCAGCGGTTTGGCGCCTGCCTTTGGCCCAAGGCGTGATCCTGGAGATCCGGGATCGAATCCCACGTCGGGCTCCCAGTGCATGGAACCTGCTTCTCCCTCGGGCTCCCGGTGCATGGAGCCTGCTTCTCCCTCTGCCTGTGTCTCTGCCTCTCTCTCTCTGTGTGACTATCATAAATAAATAAAAATTAAAAAAAAAATAAAAAATTAAAAAAAATAAAAATATGCCAGTACACAAAGATTTGAATATTGCCCTTCAAAGCAAAGTATTTTAGCCATAAATTCTACTAGTTAAAATAGTGCTGGACATCATCTTACAAAGTATAAATACATTTTCTTTCTTATTAGATTATATAATATACTGTCAAGAAGACCACCTGTAAGATGTTTACAGCAGAAATCTTTTAAGGGGCACCTGGGTGGCTCAGTCAGGTAAGCCTCTGCTTTTGGCTTGGGCCATAATTCCAGGGTCCTGGGATACAGCCCTGCATTGGGCTCCCTGCTCAGAGGGGAGTCTGTTTTTCCCTCTCCTTCGGCTTGCAGCTCCCTGTGCCTATGCCCTTTCTCTCTTACTCTCTCAAATAAATAATAAAATGAAATCTTAAATTTTTTTAAATGACTGCATAGAATGCAGAAAAATGTTCAGTATATGTTGTCTCTCTAGTGTGATTCCACTTCTGTATAAATTATGTTTACAGATGAATACATATATCAAAAATAATATATATGATATATTCTAAAATTATTTTAAAATGGTAATCTTTGGGGGACTCACATTGACTTACATATTATATTTATTTGTTGGCCAAGGTAATTACTTGGAAAGACAACTGAATGCATATGTCCAAATTATTTATATGTTCAGAATATAGACTATTAAATTTCTTCCACTGTGTGCAGAATATGGAATGAGAATAGCATATGACACATGCTGGATATTAAATAAATACCTGGTGAGTGAACTGAATGGATAGTCACATATATACTGTTCTGCAACATGAATTTTTCATGCAAGCATTTATCATTGAGAATTTCTCCGAAGAGTTAAAAACAAAAAGGACCAATCCTACACACATAATTTTGTTAAAATGGCAGTCCATTGTGTGGACATGCCCAAATGTATTTAATCCAGTGATTCCAGCGGAGGGTGGTGCTAATACCCCGAGTATTTGAGAACACAGGTGGAGAGGACAAAGTCATTTTTTGGGTTGAAAGTAATTATACTAGCATTTAGTACCCAATGCTATACTTCCTACAGTGTGTAAATACCTGCCCTGTTTAAAGGGCCCAAAGTGCTTCTGTTGAGAGACACTGATTACCAATCTCTGCAAATGTCAGGCGGGTTCCAAATTTTTGTTATTATAAACATTCATTATGTCCTTGCTCATATATCCTGTTTCTTACATGATTTCTAGAAGTGAAATTATGGATCAGAATGTCCACATTTTAGAGTCTTCTGATAGACACTGATACAATGTTCTCTAGAAATATTGATATTTTATCTAGAAAAAAACAGTATTTTCATTTCACTTCTTAGTATTTAGGTTGACTATCTTTTTATGTTTATGGGCATTTGGCATTTTTAAATTTGAAAACTGCTTGTTTGTATGTCTTACACATTCTTGTACTAGTTTTTTTTTTTATTTCATCATAACTGAGGGATCACTGACAAAACTGCAAGGTATTTAAAGTATACATTGTAGAGACTTGATATATGTATATATTGTGATAGGATTTCCATTATCTAATTAACTATTTATTCTTTTTCTTATTTTAATGTTCACCTTTTTCCTTACTGACTTAAGAGCTCTTTAAATTTTACGATTACTAATTCCGTCATTAATGTCAGAACATTTTTTCCTGTTTGATACCGGTTTTTCAATATTTTTTTTAAATTTATTAATTTATTTTTTATTTTTTATGATAGAGAGAGAGAGAGAGAGAGAGAGAGAGAGAGAGAGAGAGAGGCAGAGACATAGGCAGAGGGAGAAGCAGGCTCCATGCACTGGGAGCCCGACGTGGGATTCAATCCCGGGTCTCCAGGATCGCGCCCTGGGCCAAATGCAGGCGCCAAACCGCTGCACCACCCAGGGATCCCCGGGTTTTTCAATATTGCTTATGGTATTTTCTTTCTTCCTATATACATTTTCTTCTCATAAAATCTCTTTCCTTCTTGACATTTGAAATTTATAATGTGCAGGAGTGGTTTTCCCCACTCTAAGATTACAAAAATGACCATCTTGTTTTCTTCTATATTTTTGTGGTTTTCTTTTTCACATTTTAATTTTTTATATTGGGCAGCCTGGGTGGCTCAGTGGTTTAGCGCCGCCTTCAGCCCAGGGCGTGATCCTGGAGACCTGGGATGGAGTCCGAAGTCGGGCTCCCTGCATGGAGCCTGCTTCTCCCTCTGCCTGTGTCTACCTCTCTCTCTCTGTGTCTCCCATGAATAAATAAAATCTTACAAAAAAAAAAAAAAAAGAATTTTTTAGCTGAAGTGGATCTTAAGGTGAGAGGGAATATTTGCTACTGTGAATTGACTCTTTGATTATAACACTTTCACAATGCTTATAGTCTCAACATGTATCTAGTGTGTGACCACCTCCCTGAAATTTCTCATAAATAAAATTTTTCTTTTGGGGTTTTGACATAATAATATCATACAATAAGAATTTTATCCTTTTTTAAAAGAATTTTTTTTTTTGAGAGAGAGAGCAAGAATGAGAGAGATCACAGAGGGAGAGGGAGAAGCGGGCTCCCCACGAGCAGAGAGCTGACACAGGGCTCAATCCCAGGATCCCAGGATCATGACCTGAGCCCAAGTCAGAACTTAACCGAATGAGCCACCCAGGCACTCCAGAATTTTATCTTATTTAAAACAGTAGCTAGAAATTTTCAGAAGTGACAAACAATTTTCAGAGTTTTTGGCATTGTCATTTAGTTTCTGACTTTAGTGAGAAGATCCCTCATGTTTCAGAGTTGTGTAATGTCAGTTGTTGGGCTGATCAATTTTTAAAATTCTCATCTTAAAATATACAAAGTACTTCCAGGAATGATTCAGATAACCTACTTTTCTCTTAAGAAGCTGTTCAAATATGTGTGAATAGATGTCCTCTTTCATTTTTCAATGAACTCCCCAAGCAAGCGAAGAATTAGCAATGCCTATAGGATCAGTTACAACTCAAGGAGGAATGTGTCTTATTTAATGGGCAACTCTTTATTTCCTATCCTTCGACATTGTTTTGCAGCTCGTGGTCTACCTTTGTCATGAAACTTAGCAAGACTACGTCATAGACAATAAAAGCTATTCCCAAGAGGTTCTCAAAATGTTTTTATTTAAATCAATAGACTGATCTCTTAGTGTGGCTATGTTAGAGATTACAATATACTTCCAGATATAAAGCCTCTGTCCTATTTCAAAAGACATGTGTCCCACTGTTCTTTGTCTATGTACAAAAATGTAAGTTCTATAAACAAGATGATATTTACAGCTTAGCCAAAGTTGCAAAGGAAGAAAAAAAAAGAATAAAGTGCTAAACACTGGACACAGAAGGAAGGGAAATACCTTCTTACCTGCACTTCAATCTGTAGGTCTTTGTCCAGGAGTGCTCTCTTTTTTAGTATTTCAGCTTTGAGTTGTTCCTTGTGTTTGAAGAGCAGCGCAGAGAGCTTGGTGGCATTCTGCTTGCTACGTTTCTGTTCCACACTCTCTTCACGCTTCCGTTTCTTTGCTGCCTGCTTTTCTTCTTTATCTATCTTATCCAAAATATACTTCATCACCTGGTTACAGACAATCATTCTAGAGAGAAATACACAATCCATGTAATCCTGAAAGGCTTAAGAAATAATTTTTCTATGTCTTTACAGTTGATACACAAACTTTCTATGACTAGAAAGCTTCAAAGAGTGATTCAAACCAGTTATGAGCAGCTAGTAGTGCCAAGTGTTCTCATTTAATGAACTTCAGCCAAAATTAAAAAACAAACAAACAAAAAAAGGAAACCCCAAAGTCCTGTGTGTGTGGACACTAAAGAGGAAAGGCTGGTATACAACGAGTCCCTGTGTTCCTGGATTACAAACATTTCTCCCTACCTTTGATTCTCTTCTCTTTCAGCTGGAGTCATGGTCTTTTTCTGCTTTAAATGTTCTATTACAGCATTATGCTTCATCACCACCTTCAGGACAGAACAAAATCCCAAAGTGCATATTTTATAATGACTATAAGTTGGTATACAGATAACAACAGTAGAAATCTGAGCACATGTATGTTTTCGAAAGAAACTAAAAACTTTATATCATAATATAAATAAAATTAGAGCTACAAAAATATGGCTTGGGAGCTTACCGTGTACTGGGCACTGTACTAAGTAAACACTTAACAATACCTCAATTATTCCTCATAACAACGCTGAAAGGGCTAATTTTATAAAAGAGATTCTCAGACATATAAAATTTAACTCACTTACTTGAGATTAAATGAGTATTATAAGCTGTAACTTTAACTCAGCTATCATTCTCCAATAGCCATTTTTTTTAGCATTACACTCTCTTCCTAGACATTCATTTCAAATATTTCCCCTCCTTCCCATCCCACTTTGCATGGAGATTAGGATAAAGACAGACATTGTAATAATTCTCAATTTACACAGTACTAAAAGCTGGGTAATGATGCATTTGAACATATACATGACATCGATTTATAAGAGTATTACCATACACCTTTAAAATCTCTTTGCTGTTTAAAAAAAAGTGCTTCTAGCAATGTTGCATTAGAACCCTCAAATGTGCTAAGAGACACTATCTTAATTATTTCTACCTAAAAAGAAATGCTCATATGATGTGATAGAAGTACTATTGCTACAAAAGCCATCATGTTCCAAATTTCAATGAATCAAATCAACATGTTGTACACCTTAAATTTATACAACACTATATGTTGAACATATCCCAATAAAAAATAAAAAGTGCTTCTACATACATGACCTCTTTCAATCATTACAATAATCTTGTGTGGCTGGAAACGGAGTATTAATGAAGATATAGAGCTCAGGGTAGAGAGATGAGTTTCAGAGACTGTGAAGGGGAGACCTTGGAACTGGATGCAGGTCTCGTGACTTGGGAACATTTGAAATCCACACACAAACTCCTGACTAATGCTGAATGGTGTATGTTGTCGATGCAAAGACAGTTTTCTCCAGTGATGCTACAGGATCTTATATGTGTGACTTCATTTTAAGTAGAATAATTCTAATTCCTCTAAATTGCCTTACTTCACTAAGATGCTACTACAGGATGCCACTTTTTATTTAAACTCTGGAGTAGAATTTCAACCTTTTACAAAGGTGTGGCTAGAAATGCAAATAGGTTTCAACTGTATAATTTGCTTAGTCTCCGAGCAAACTAAGGAATGACCATTGCAAATAACTTCAAAGAAAGTACTACGGCGCCTGAAGTGGCTTTCAACTTAAACCTTCCAATTTTGCATTAATGACACTTAAACTCCTAACTCCATTCTTTCCATCTTCGTTCTCCCAAAATACAGGTAGTTTTTTAAATATGCACTGATTGTTTTCATCCAATATAGAGTTCCAAGCCTTGGTAGCCATTTGTTATTTTTTTGTCAATCCAGTGCTGCTTCTAAATTGAAGCATCAATGACTTTTGTCTCACGTAGGAAACCTAACACAACCAACACTAAGTCTACTGCACAGCACAATAATTCAAGCTACTGAACATGCTGCTTTTTTACTTAATAACTTTACCTGTTTCTGAATGATTTCACTTTGATTAGAAGCTTGGAGAGTGTGTTCCCGCTTAATTTCTATCTGTTGCTGCTTCTTCTTTTGCTGCTGCTCCCTGAGTTGCTGAACCCTTTGCAACTGCTCTTGCACACTGGCTGCCTGCACTGTAACCACATTCTGAATCTGGTGAGTCTGCACAGGACTGCTTTGCTGAATTTGAATAGGTAACTGGAGTTTGATTTGCTGGGGCACACCACCTTGCTGAGCCTGTATCTGAGCCACAACCTGCGACTGGATCTGAGAGAGAACCTGGACTTGTTGTTGCAGCTGAGGCACAGCAATGACTTGGGGCTGTGGCTGCTGTATCTGTAGCTGAGGACGGGATGGGGATGAAACAGTAACTTGACTTAACGTCTGTCCTGATGAAAGAGTTTGAGTTGGAGACTGTACCTGGGGTTGTGATTGTGGCTGGCCCTGGGAAGGTATCTGAAGAGATGTATGTGGTTGAATTGGAATCGGTTGTGAGGTTGTAGTCTGAACCTGGGATTGCTGTCCAGGAGACACTTGGGATGGAGTCGATGGACGTATTCGAGTCTGTGGTGGACTTTGGACGCGAGCAGGAGACTGTCCTTGGACATTACTTTGAGGCTGACACTGTACTGCGACTTGGGGTTTGGATGACTGTGCCTGGGTGGGTTGTGCTTCAGAAGGGACATGGGATGCAACAGTTGTTTGGGTCTGAACTTCAGGCTGAGTCTGAACTTCAGGCTGAGCTGGGGATTGGGGCTGGGTTTGGGACTGGGGCTGAGCTGAAGGCTGAGCAGTCTGTGGCTGGGCTTCTGGAGGACTCACACTTGATGACTGAGCTGCTGGCAAGGTTTTGGCTTGTTGCACCTGTGTTGGGGGTGATAATTTACTCTGTCTTTGTTCACTTGTACCTGTGGGAGAAAAAAAAAGACTAAATATTTCTATTACAATAGAACATAGGACCATGGCAAAAGAAGAATTTGAAGGGAGTTTTCTAAAGGCGAGAATTCTCAATTTCAGTAACACTGATACCTTAGAAATGTTCCATAGACACACTTGAGTTAGGACTCTCCTAACTGGGGATCGAGGTTCGGTTTCATGGCTGCCCTCTGCACATGCTGCTAAGCCTCCTGAGCACTGGCTCCTAAAGCAAGGCACAGTCTCTGGAAATTAGCCATGACTTCTGGTACAGGCTAACGCTAAACCCTCATTTTTCTCCTACGACATGGTGAGGGTAGCTTGCAGTAAGAGGCTAACAAAGTGGTTCTGGACCTGCAGCTCTCAAATGTAGGCTATGAGCTGGATAGATCCACCTTCCCTGAGATTATCTGTATGGCTCAATCAGTGCTTACAAGGCAGGGCAAGAAGCAAGTCTAGGCACAGTTACCATGATAGCCATTATTTTTTGCTCCCCATCCCAATTCTATTTTTTTGGGGGGGGGGGTTGGAGATGACAAGGAGTCTGTAGGAACAAGAGATACTGTGAGGTTGACCAGTCATCTTAAGCTCACTGGCTTGAGGCATATCCTTCCAAGGGGAAGCAGTGGGCCTCCTATCCCTCTATTAGCCCAGCAACTCAAGTAATAATGTGCATTTCTGATAACCCCAAGTTCTACCTGCTGCTGTAGTGGAAACAGTAGTGGTGGTGGTGCTGGCTGCTGTGGCTGTTGTTGCCAGAGGCGTAAAGAGGAACCGCTGAACGGTACCATTCGGCATGGCAGCTTGCATCAGCTGCTGTCCTGGACCCGGAAGTATAGTCACCCCTTGAGGTATCAACTGCAACTGTCCAGTAGTCTGACCTTGTCCTTGAATTACTACGGTCAAACCTTGATTGCCACCCTATGGAAAACAACAGACAACATGTAAACAGTATTCACAGCATCAATCTATAAGTATTACACTTTTACTTGGGAAGATCCTTTAATGTAGTGAAAATATATACTTGAATGTTTACAGAATAGCATCAGAAGGAATTCACATAAGCTAAAATAAGAGTATTTATTTGGAAAGACAAAAATGTTGTAGAATGAAAAAAATGTGAACTAATAACCCAGAGTTCCAGTGCAGGCTCTCCAAATAGACAGTCAGGGATCTGTCTACGAGTAGCATGACCCCTCCATAGCTAAGTTTCCCTAATCTATAAAACAAGAAGATTGACGTGAATGACTAATGCCACCACAAGATTCTGATTTTAAGCCATCTTATACTCATGTTATTTTATACTTTTCATTTTTAAAAAAGATTTTTTTTACTTATTCATGAGACACACACACACACACACACACAGAGAGAGAGAGAGAGAGAGAGAGAGAGAGAGAGAGAGAGAGAGAGGCAGAGACACAGAGGGAGAAGCAGGCTCCATGCGGGGAGCCCGATGTGGGAGTCGATCCCAGGATTCCAGGATCATGTCCTGGGCCAAAGGCAGGGGCTTAACTGCTGAGCCACCCAGGGATCCCCCTTTTTATAATTTTCAAAGCATCTTTATATGTACTGTCTTGTTTGATCCTCACAATGGACTTGTGACTTCGTGGAATAAGGAGAAACAATATTACTATTATCTTATCACTAATTAGAAATCAATATTAGAAAGTTCAAGTCACTTGCCCAATGTTAGAGACCAAGTTAAAGGTAAGATAAAATGAGGAGCCAGGTCTCTTGGTCTCAGTTTTTCAACATGCACCAGATTACCCATGGTGCACACTCAAGTGTAAAAAGCGCAGGGTTTAGACAGGGAATACAAACATTTAGTCAACAAGGTTGCTAATGCCCACACAGTTATCAAAATGGGGACGAGGAAGTAAAAGCTCTGTATGTACTGTCTCTTCTGTTCAGGACTTATTAATCCAGTGACCTTAACTACCAGGGACATGGTGGAGAGTTAGAAGCAAAGTAAAAACAACCCACCCCAAATTCCCAACAGCCAAAACTGACACACAAAATTCATGTATAGTTTAGGAAATAATTATAAAGTAAACATCTATAAACAAACAACAAACAAACAAACATCTATAAAATCAGCATTCAGGTCACCATTACCATTATGCAAGAAGCCCCCACTGTGATCTACTCTGATCTCCATTCCCTTCTTTTCTCCTGGAGGTAATCACTATGCTCACTGTTACCATAAGACAGCACATCTTCACAGTGCTCCTGCTTAGGTACTGATCTATTTCTTTTGTTTTTTATCTATCTATCTATCTATCTATTATCTATCTATCTATTATCTATCTATCTATCTATCTATCTATCTATCTATCTATCTATCTATCTATCTATCTATCTATCTATCTTTAGAGAGTTTGGGGAGGAGGAAGACAGGGAGAGAGAGAATCTGGAGCAAACTCCCTGCTAAGCATGAAGCCATTATGGGGCTCGATCTCACGACCTGAGCCAAAACCAAGAGTTGGGACGCTCTACTGACAACCACCCAAGCACCCCACAATTTTTGATTTGTGTTTCTAAGATTTATTTATCTTAGGGAAGAAAGACAGAGAGAGAGAGAGCGCGCCTACACATGTATAGCGGGGGTGGGGAAGGGGCAGAGGAAGTGAAAGAATCTCAAGTCGATTCCCCACAGAGTGCAGAGCTCAATCTCATGATCCCCAAGATTATGATCGGAGCCAAAATCAAGAGTCAGACACTTAACTGACTGAGCACCCAGGCCCCAGTTATGTATTTTTATAGGGCTACAGGTTCACAACTTCAAGAGCATCATCCATGGAGAACATGATGGGAATGATGCCCCTCTGGGTAGGCAATGTAATAGCCCTGTATTCCTGTACAATACAGCTAGTTTTGTCCACTTCTGAATTTTATGCAAATAGAATCATAATAGAAGTTTGTTACTTGCTCTTTTAGCTCAACAATCTGGTTCTGTGTGGCTGCAGTTTTTCATTTTTGTTGCTATAAGTAATGTACCTCAATTTACCTAATTGATAGTATGTAGACATTTGGGTTGTTACCAGTTTTTTACTCCTGTGAACTGTGCTATGAACACTCATGTCCATTATCCTGATGATGCTCACGTGAACAAGAACTTCCAATAGGGAATACACCTAGGAGAACTCCCAGACATATGTACATATCCTTGACATTGCTAGAAAATGTCTAGGAGTTTTCCAAATGACTAAACCACAATTTATACTACCACCAGTTGTGCACAAAAGTTCATTTTGTTTCATGTCTTTGCCAATTCATGATCCTGACATTTTAATTTATACCGAGCTCTTATGTACATGTTTTTTTTTTTTTTAAAGATTTTATTCATTTATTCATGAGACACAGAGAGAGAGAAAGAGAGAGAAAGAGGCAGAGGGAGAAGCAGGCTCCATGCAGGGAGCCTGACGTGGGATTCCATCACGGGTCTCCAGGATCAGGCCCCTGGGCTGAAGGTGGCACTAAACCACTGAGCCACTGGGGCTGTCCTATACATGGTTTTAATATGCATTTCCCATATTACTAAGAGAGTTCAGCCTGTCAAGTTCCGTAAAAAAAAACCCTGGTGTTTTTATAGAACTGTATTTAATCTATTGATTACTACTAGAAGAGCTAATAGCAATAATGAGTCTTGCAGTGAACCAACTTTCATTTTTCCCATGGAAATTGGTCATCTAGTAATGTTTTGGTAATTAAAAAGATTATCTGTTTTAGCTCACAATCTAAGGACTTTAGATAACTGAAATTTATTACATCTCTTCTTCAACTCTAGGAAGCAGCTATTTCTTTAAAAAGTGCATTATAGGGGATTCCCAGGTGGCTCAGCAGTTTGGCTGCTGCCTTCGGCCCAGGGCGTGATCTTAGAGTCCTAGGATCAAGTCCCACGTTGGGCTCCCTGCATGGAGCCTGCTTCTCCCTCTGCCTCTCTCTCTCTTTCTCAGATGAATAAATAAATAAATATCTTTTTTTTAAAAAAAGTGCATTATAAAACTTTTGAGAATAACTACATGATTTTGGTTTTATTTTGTTTTTTAAATATTTTTGAGAGAGAGAAAGTAGGAGGAGGAGTAGAGGGAGGGAAATCTGAAGTTGACTCCCTGGTGAGTGTGAAGCCTGATGCAGGATCGATCTCATCACTCAGATCGTGACCTAAGCCAAAACTAAGAGTTGGACATCCTAAGTACATGCTTTTAAACTTATTGCAAGAATAAATAAATGATCACATGTAAAGTTAAGAATGTTACCTAAGTGGAATTAAAAAACTTTTTAAAAAAGTTAAAATGTTAAAATGAAGTTGCATTACTTACGTGGCCCTGTGTTAACTGAGTGAGCTGAGCCATGGTAAGCTTCACCTGTCCCTGTTGTGGGCGAGGGGATTGTGAGGTTGAAGACTGCAGATTTGTACTGGATGTTCCCGAAGTTAATCCTTTCTGTGCAGGTGTCGAGGAAACTGCACTAGGGGCAGAGATTGCGGTGGAGACAGGCTGCCCTCTAATGATCTGAGTCACCACTTGTTGAGGAGCACCTACACACAGCAAAATGCTATGAATGTTTATATGTCCTTAAGCAGTATTCTGAGTTGAAATATTGTTCAACACATCAGATGAATGTTTTCTTTTCGATTTTCAAAAAGCTCTATTGATGCTATGAGCCCAAGGATGCACTCAGACATATATACACACCGAGTCCCACCTGGTTGTCAGTGTACCTGTTTTTGCTTTGTCACTGACGACCACTCCCCAGTTCTTGCTATTTGCAGCTGAAAACACAATCAATATTCTTCCTGTGAGTCTAATGCTAAAATGACAATAGGGAAGACTGAAGAAAAATATACTATAAAGAGCCATTTTATAAAGCTGCCTTTCTTTAGGAATATAGAGTAAGATAATCTAATATGTAATGAATCGGGACACCTGGGTGGATCAGCGGTTAAGCATCTGCCTTCAGCTCAGGGCATGTTCCTGGAGTCCTGGGACTGAGTCCCACATCGGGCTCCCTGCATGGAGCCTACTTCTCTCCCTCTGCCTGTGTCTCTCATGAATTAACTAAAATCTTAATAAATAAATAAATAAATAAATAAATAAATAAATAAATAAATAAAGTGAATTCATATGAATTTTAAACATAACAAATAGAGTATAGGGCTATTCTGAACCAATTATTTTTATAAATGAGCTTTTCGGGATCCCTGGGTGGCGCAGCGGTTTGGCGCCTGCCTTTGGCCCAGGGCGCGATCCTGGAGACCCGGGATCAGATCCCACATCGGGCTCCTGGTGCATGGAGCCTGCTTCTCCCTCTGCCTGTGTCTCTGCCTCTCTCTCTCTCTCTGTGTGACTATCATAAATAAATAAATAAAAATTAAAAAAAAATGAGCTTTTCTTAAGGCTCTTCAAAGATAGTTTGGGACAACCATGAGGTGTAGGATCACTTTATCCTTAGTACCAGGGCAAAATGCTCAAAGAATGCTTCCATAATTCACTGTTCAATATCTACTGAACAAATGAATGAGTTTAAGTTGGAATGGCTCTAGTCTTCTAAAAACTTTCATTTCTCATTTAACTTGCTGAAACTAGAATAAATTTTTCCCATGTGGAGCAGTTGCTAAGAGTAATTATTTGGTAGCTAATTTTACATTTACAATGTCCTAATTCATTATTAGTGAATGCCATCACACTTCTGAAGTTTTATATTCATTTCCGGTCTTTTTTCCATTGCTGAATATATTCCTGAACATACACATTTATGTATAACATTGCACATGTATTACATTGAAAGTCTTTTGACATTCAGAATTACTGTCTCCTTTATCTTTTTAAAATAGTGCTATGGTGAAATCCCTGTTTATACATTTTTATGTGCTTCTACTTATTTCCTTAAAATATCCCCCCCGCCAGTATTACTGGGTTTCTAGTAGGAGCGCAATACTAAATAGAATTTTAGATACCAACTCACACTCCGTCACTGAGTTCCTATCTCACTAAACTTCTGCCAACCGTAGGTACCATCACTAAATATAATATTCCAGCAATCAGAAATAGTAGGAGAGCATCATGGTCTCTGAATTAATTCAATTACTATAGAGAATCAGCATTTAAATCCCTGTCAAGTCATTATGCTTCATCTGTGAACTCTCTCCACACTTGTCGCATTTCTTTTTTTTTCCTACTTAGTTATAGTTGCTTTTTATAGGTTAAAGATACAAATTACAACTATGGATTCTTCCTACTTTGCATTCTGCCTTTTCTTATTTTTTATTTTTAAAGGTTTTATTTTTTTATTCTTGAAAGACACAGAGAGAGAGGCAAAGACATAGGCAAAAGATGAAGCAAGCTCCCTTCGGGGAGCCCAATTTGGGACTCGATCCCAGAACCCCATGATCATGCCCTGAGCCAAAGGCAGCTGCTCAACCACTGAGCCACGGAGGTGTCTTTTTTATTTTTATTTTTTATTTTATTATTTTTTTTAAAAATTTATTTATGATAGTAACACAGAGAGAGAGAGAGAGGCAGAGACACAGGCAGAGGGAGAAGCAGGCTCCATGCACCGGAAGCCCGACGTGGGATTTGATCCCGGGTCTCCAGGATCACGCCCTGGGCTAAAGGCAGGCGCCAAACCGCTGCACCACCCAGGGATCCCTTTATTTTTATTTTTAAAACTCAAAGTGTTCTCTTTTCTTTCAGTATGTGTGTGTTTTCTTATTCTGGCTTTAATTATTTCTTTTAAAGTTTTCCTGCATTCTCTAATCAGATATACCTTCCCAAGGATGTTCTTAGTCATGGTATATGTTGGCAGAGGTCTACCCCCCACTGAAACTCTAAACTGATTATTCCAGTATCATTTGTCTAGTCTTTCGTCCTGATTCAAAATGACACCTCTGTCACACTGCAAATTCTCACATATAATGCCTCTTTAATGGTCTTCTTTGGTCTGGTTTCCTTTGGTATCATGGTGCTAATTCTGGTGGTGTATAATATGCTCTAACAACTAGCGGTGCATGTTTTCATCATTACTCTGTCTTCTAAACTTTTCTTGATTAATCTCTCCCATTTATTCTTAAGGTGAACCAAAAATACATCATATGAAGTCAAATGCTTTAATTTGAGAACTGGACCCCACATTATGTCCTTGTACTGCAATCTGAGGAAAAATACATGAAAAACTACTTTAGCTGACCCCCGGTACTGATATGATGCTATCACAAACACAGATGGATAAAGGGCTGGTGCTGGTCATTCAGATGATCCCCAATATGTACCTGTTAGTTTACTTTGTGATTATCACCAAAATGTAAATTCAAAAATTAAAAAAAATCTTTATTACATCTAGGGAGTCTGTGGGTTCCATTTTCGGAAAGGCTAGTATGGTGGTAGGAAGAGGATAAGCTAATCTACACATAGAGACACACTAAGCATATCCACCCCCTCCACCTAGGATACTTCCTCACTCTCATTGGCCGGACGGACCACTGGCCACCTTGTTTTTCCTTGACACAGAAGAAACACTAATATGTGTAACTATGGACTCACATGTGCAAGTCAAACACATAACTCAAGCTACGAAAGGCAACAACAAGGAAGTGAGCTCTATATATCTTGTAATCACCAAATTTTTTCAGTTTTGTAGGTATATTACCTTTTGTCATCTGTAATTTTTTTCTGCTTTACCTTTATTGTTTCCTTTAGTTCTCTGACAGCTTTTTTTAAACAGTAATAGATACTAAATTTTATCAACTGTCCCTGCAGCTTTGAGTGAATTAATGAATCATACTTTCTTTCCTGGGGTAAATCATGTTTAAGCTTTAGAAAATTGCATTTAAATAAAAGCAAAAACAAAAACAAAACAAAACAACAATGCTTTTTATTTCATACTAGAACTGTCTAAAATTGTAAAATGAATGGAAAAGATTTAATCTTTTCTTTGCCTTATGCCCTAGAACTTTTTTTCTAAGAAGGAAATTGTTTTCTAATCATTTCAAAGGATTTTACCCATAAAACCATGAGGTCTGGAATTTTTTGTAGGAAATACTATGGCAAAATTCCAAACTTCTTTCCTTGATATGAGTCATTGAGACTTGAAATTTATAAGCATAGTATATACTTATACCTCATTATTCAAATAAATTTAATTCCTGAGTATGGGAAGTGAGAATTCTCCAAGGTTTTACTATAAGAATTCCTATATATGATTTTCTTTTGATTAAAAAAAAATCATTCTAGAGATAACTAGGTGGCTCTCAGGTGGTTTAGCATTTATTTGACTTTGGCTCAGGTCATAATCTCAGGGTCATGGATCTAGCCCTGAGTCAGGCTCCCCACACAGTGGGGAGTATGCTTGTCCCTCTCCCTCCCTCCATCACTCCCTCTGCTCATGTTCTCTCTCCCTCAAAAATAAATAAAATCTTAAAAAAAAAGTTCATTATTTTTATAGCACTTTTTTTATTACTAATGCTGTAAACTAGCATTTTGTTCCCATTTCTCAAAGATCAGACTTCTAAAAGAATGGATTAATAATTTTTCCTTTTCTGGGACGCCTGGGTGGCTCAGCGGTTGGGCGCCTGCCTTTGGCTCAGGTCATGATCCCCGGATCCAGGATCGAGTCCCGCATTGGGCTCCCTGCGAGGAGCCTGCTTCTCCCTCTGCCTATGTCTCTGCCTCTCCTCTCAATCCGTGTCTCTCATGAATAAATAAATAAATCTTTTAAAAAAAATAATTTTTCCTTTTCTCTTTTTTTAAAGATTTTTATTTATTTTATTTTACTTTATTTGATTTATTCATGGAAGACACACAGAGAGAGGCAGAGACACAGGTACAGTGAGAAGCAGGCTCCCCGTGGGAACATGATGTGGGACTCAATCTCAGGACCCCGGTATCATGTCCTGAGCCAAAGGCAGACACTCAACCACTGAGCCATCCAGGTGCTCCCAAGATTTTATTTTTAAGTAATCTCTACACTGAACATGTGGCTTGAACTCTCAATCCTCAGATCAAGAATAGCATGCTCTCCTGACCAATCCAGCCAGATGCCTGCCTTTTTCTCTTTTCTAATTATTACTTGTATTTTTATTTTACATTCTCCTGTTTTCTTTAAGGTTTATTTTATATATTTTTCTAACTACTGATTAAGAATTCATGTGTGTTTTTGGTCAATTTTCTCCTCCAGCGTATTTCAACTGCCTAAGGTAGGTGCTCAAATATTTACTGAATAAATTTGCCTCTGAGTCCAGCTTCGACAGCACGACTTAGTCGCTACTTGATAATCTGCTTGAATCTTTGCGTTTGATGTTCCCTTAACTCAAAAGTTACTTATGAGAATATACATTTTAAAATTTCAAGCAGGGACACCTGGGTGGCTCAGTGATTGAACGTCTGCCTTCAGCTCAGGTCGTGATCCTAGAGTCCTGGGATCGAGTCCCATATCGGGCTCCCTGTATGGAGCCTGCTTCTCCCTCTGCCTGTGTCTCTGATATATAAATAAATAAATAAAATCTTTAAAAAAATTAAATAAAAAATAAAAATTTCAAGCAAGTATAAACTAGTAGTATAGCTTAATCTTAACTTCTAACTTTACTACATAGAATGTGGACTATACACATTCTACTTTTTGGAAGGAATTCATCAGGTTTTACCTATGATTCATTTTATGACTTTTTTTTTTTTAAACAAACATCCCATATATATTTAAAACCAATGTGTATCCCTGAAGGTTAAACAGTTGACACAGTCTGTTCTGGTCTATTATGCTTCTGTTAATCTCTCGTTGATATCAAATAGTTTTTGCTTTAAATACTCCAATAAAATTTTATTGGTTCTTTTTAAAAATATATATATTTTTTAGTTTTAAGTAATCTCTACATATAGTGTGGGGCTTGAACCTACAACACCAAGACCAGGAGTCCTATGCTCTACCAATTGAGCCAGGCAGGTGCCCCTTATTTGGTTCCTAAAGATCTTAAACTGCATCTTCATTGCAAGTTTTCATCTTTAAAACAATGAATAAATCATTGACTTGTACTGTGTTCAATATTAGTAGGATAATCCTTGTCTTCCCCACCCACACTCCATCTCCCGTCTTTCTTACTTTCTTTTTTTGGCCTTTCTTTCATGTATCCTTGCTTATCTATTATTTACTTTTGTAGTAATTCAACTTTAGATATGTTTCTCATTAATATACAGTTGGATTTTTTGTTCTATCTTTATACTATTCAACTTTTATTTTTCTATTTTTAAAGATTTTATTTATTCATGAGACACACAGGGGGGGGGCACAGACAGAGGCAGAGGCAGAGGCAGGCTCCCGGTGGGGAGCCCTGATGCAAAACTGGGACTCGATCTCCTCCCCTCCCCACGCCACCATCATGCCCTTAACCAAAGGCAGATGCTCAACCACTGAATCACGGGAACATCCGTACACTATTCAATTTTTAATATGGGAACTTTAACCTATTCACATTAATGAAGGGCTGATAATGCCTTTGTAATCTTTTTTTATGCCTTCTGTTTAAATGCTTCTTGTTTCCTTGATTTTATGTCTTTGCCACACAGGCTACTGTCTTTGTTCATTCTCTTTATTCCAATGATTTGAACTAATACATATTCCATTTAGTAGAGATATTTAAAACATTTTTATCAAGCATATTGGGATCTATTTTTTTTCTATTCGTAACACCAAAAATGAAATAATACCCATGGATATATCCCACAATGGATTAGAAATTTAGTATGCTCTGAAGTACTCATTCAAATTGGTGGTTTTTAGTATGTAGAGCGCCAAATATAGAGTATTACAGACTTCCTAGACAGATTGTTTAGATGTAAAATGAAAATGCTGGAGGGATGAATACCTGGCTGTACCATCACAGGAGTTCGAATAATTGCCTTTCCTAGTGTTGACTGTTGGAGGGGTGTTCTAATCACCGTCATACCAGGGCGGATCTGAGGCCCTGTAATTACCTATAAATGACACAAAGGACAATGAATTAAAATGTTTTTAAAAGACTAAAAGCATGATGATGGACTTAAAACAAAGATCTTTAAACATTTCCTAGTGATAAACAGGTCTACAGAAATGACAAAGGTTCTGAATATTACATTTTAAATTACATTAAGCATCAGAATAAAGATGGAATTTTGAGGAGGGAAAACTTAATTCAAATGAGATCATATGAAATTCCTTGTCACTGATACTAAGTACAGCTTTATGAACTAGAACAAGACCCACTGAAGCTCTGTTCTATAACCACCATGACTGCTTCACAGGAAAATACTGAGTCCCGTTTTTCCCTGATGTCTAATACATATCTGTCACCCACAGACTATAATAGTAAGATTGGAAACCAAATGTTCTTTCACAGTTTTAGAAGACAGACTACAGAGCATATTGTTTTCAGTTTTATAGTTTGGTTCAGAACACTTTCAAGTCTTTTCCATGATACCAGAGGCAAAGAAATGATGTATCAAACAGGTGTGCCTATCAGCTGATAACAAACTACTTAGAATGCCATGGATTCTATTTTCATTCTATTTCTTAGTTGCACAGCAAGTTTCCCTGGGGGCTCTGATGCTGCCCCTTGTTTCATATGAAGGAATTTTCTTTACAAAACCCTAGAAAGTGAATAAATAAAAATAAAAAAAAAATGAATAAATAAAAATAAAAAAAAACCCTAGAAAGCATTTTTATTATGATTCATAACGTATACTAGTATGCTATTAACTGTTAAAAATTAACATTACATATATGATTTATGCTTAGAAATAGAGTTTTTTTAAATCAGTACTTTATCACAGATTAAAAGGCAAAAGAAAATTAGAAGCTGGATTAATCCTGGAAGAGACCATTCTAAAAACGTCAACCTGCTGTGGTTAACACTTAAAAACAAAATAAATCTGTAAAGAACTCTTACTTGTGAAGTGCTTGTGGTTCCTCCAGAGCCTGATGTATTGGGTCTAATTGTGACTGTTGCTGTCCTGGGCTGGAATGAAGTAAAGGTCTGCTGACTTGTACCTGTACTTGATGGAATGATACCCAGGACTTTCTGCTGTACTTGAACAACGCCTTAAAAAAAGATGAAGATGTCATTGACAACTGCCCCTTTAATTAAAAGTATCAGGTGTTGCTGGGTTTCTGAGGAGAAACTACGTGTGGTAGGGTTTTATAGTGGGCTACATAGAATGTGAGATCCGAGGACTGAAATCAGTGAAAAGGAAATGAAAAATAATGGCGACAGTATGATCTGGCAAATGTGAATTAAAACTCTTCACATTTCCCTTACCTCCTTGTGTTGCTGGCACATTTACAGCGACAATCTTGCTGTTTGCAGGAAGTGGCAGTTTGGTAATTACTTTTCCTGCCATAGTGACTGGATTGCCTGTAATTTGGAACGTCTGACCTGTGCTGGCAATGGTTGTAGCAGATGTGGCAGCTGTGCTGGTGGCTAATGGGGTATAAGACATTTAATAAGCTTTAGATTTAAAATAACCAGCAACGTAGTGACTTCTAGGAAGGGCACCAATGCATGAAATGTGGCTCATTTTGTATTTTTAAGACAAACATTCCTCTCCACTCAAAGTGAACTATGTAAATGTTGAAAGTGAAAAAATGTGAGAGGAGTTTTGCTAATGTAATAATTATGATTATTATTTGTAACAAACCAACTGTTGCAGTTTGTTTGCTCAATTAGTTGCAGAAGAAAAACAATTTTCTAAAGAAATGTTTCATTTCAGTAAGTTAAAGGAATGAAATTTCTTTTCCTTGAATGAAAGTAATCTTTTCTTTAATAACAGTTGTATACCTGAATTTGACTGGCCTTGCTTAACCCACGTAGCAAAGGTCTGATGGAAGTTCTTATTTTGCTGGAATGTTACTGTAGCTGGAGATCCAACTTTAGTGGTGAGTACCATTTTCGTTCCAGTTGTAACTGAGCCACTTATGGGGGCCACCATAACTTTCTGTGCTGGAGAAATGGTACTGGTTGTACTATTTGTTGGGGAAGTGGTAGAAGCTGCAATTACTGAAGGCTTCTGCTGTTCCAATCGTTTCTAGAAAAGTTAGGGAGAGAAAACATGAACCAAAATAGTTCTAAATAAAAACAATACCATTCTGCAACTAGTCCAGCCACAATTTCTCCAAATCTAAAGAAGTGCACCAAATTGCTAAAATATTTTATTCCCGAAAATATGTCCTAATAATTTGCCTTTAAATTTAACTTCCTGGAGAAGGCAATATTTTTATGGCTCTAAATCACATATATTTTATTCAAAGTAATAAGTCTTTCATTAAAAACCAAGAACAAATATATATATATATATATATATATATATATATATAAAAAGAAAAAGAAAAAGAAAAAAACCAAGAACAACCAAATTTTTCCAGCCTGTACAAATGTGCAAGCTTTTAGAGTGCAAATAAAAGAGACATGGGTGATCTTACTGGAGACAGGAATACTTTGCTACTCAGTGGTGGAATTTAGAGCATAGAGCAAATGATGGGAACTGTAAAAGGTTTTTGTTTACTACAAGATTAACTTATCCAAATATAAAAAAAACATGTCAATACTTAAATAATCACTATTCAAGTTGACAAACAGGTAAGCAAGCAAGCTGAAAATTATTAATGAAATATCTTTTCCAAACTTCTTACACTACTCAGTTCAAACATTTTTACAGAAAAAATATTTTAGACTATTTTATGAAGAGAGGTATAATCTGATCAGACTATAGGGTTTTTAAAGACACTTTGTATATCTTTTATCATAAATTGCTAACATTTCTAGACCTTACCAACATGACAATATAAGCTTCCACGTGTAAGAACAAGAGGCGGCACTGATTTTAAATCTGGTGGTGAATACTTTATCATCATCTTATTTACTGCTCAGACCCACCCAATACAGTTGCTAGTATTGTAACTTTCAGATGACAAAACTGAGACTCAGAGAGATTGTGTACCTGGCCTGGGCAGAGCTAGTTATTTGTGGGTTTGAGAGGTGTACTAAGATAAAACTGTAATGGTGAACTGTCTCTTGCCACTGGAAACTGCTCACCAGTGACATCACGGTCAATCCATATATAATTGCTTTTGTACACATCCTACACACCTGAATATAATGTGAGATACTTCACATAGCCTCTTATTCCTCAGAAGAAAAGTTTAGTTTTGGATACTTAGAGATGTTAACTGATTGAATCAGTTAAAAAAAAAAAAAAAGGAATGGAACATATATTTAGTAGCTATTTCCTGAGGGTATGCATTCAAAATTGGAAAGGTTGACTGTATCTGTAAATAACCATTTAAAATAAATTTTATTTATTTTTTTTTTAAAGATTTTATTTATTCATGAGAGACACAGAGAGAGAGGCAGAGACACAGGCAGAGGGAGAAGCAGGCTCCATGCAGGGAGCCGGATGTGGGACTCGATCCTGGGACTTCAGGATCACGCCCTGGGCTGAAGGCAGGCGCTCAAACCGCTGAGCCACCCAGGCATCCCTAAAATAAATTTTAAAAAGTAAAACATTAGGTTTCACTAGAGAGATGACAAAACATATCCATAAAATGAAAAAACCATTAAGCCAGTTTTTCTATGAATGGACAGATAGACATGAAAAAAATCCAAAAGTTATCGCAAATTTTGATATAAGGGAAGACATTAACCTATAGTAAACTGATGTAAAAGATGTATAAAAATTCATTTTTTTTTAAAAAATTTTTTTGATGTATAAAAATTTAAAAGAATGTTTTATAAAGGGCAGACCAGGTGGCTCAGCGGTTTAGCGCCACCTTCAGCCCAGGGTGTGATCCTGGAGCCTGGGGATCTAGTCCCACGTCGGGCTCCCTGCATGGAGCCTGCTTCTCCTTCTGCCTGTGTCTCTGCTTCTCTCTCTCTCTGTGTGTGTCTCTCATGAATAAATAAATAAAATCTTAAAAAAAAATGTTTTATAAAATGTGAAAGGAAAAAAGTCGTTTGAAATGAATACTTTGGTTGATATAATTAAGTAATTTATATTTGGTTGATATGTAATTTTTAAATACTATGGGTAACTAAGTTAATGATATTGTAAATAGACCTTTATCAATTTCACCTACACCCTAAAAGTTTACATATTAAGGTGGCTAAAAAGTTTTATGGTATTTTCTCAAGAGAAAATAGAGGTAATCATCCTTTATGTGGGTCCCTAATATTCAGGCACATACAGTACATTATGTATAGCGTGGAAATGCAAAGAAACCATCAGTAGCTTTATGATTCTCAATTATAACAACTCATAAAGTTTCAGTACAACTTGCTTTTTTATAGCCGAACAGAGATGGTACAGACTGGAATTTGCAAATTACTCACCAACACCTCAAGCTACTGTATCATTGTGTGTCAACTATACTTCAGTAACAACAAAAACTTACCCATTGAATTCTAGAGATAATAAATAAAACCACATGAATATACCATTGTGCATGCACAATAATATACCACTATTGTGCTTTTGGTGTGCATGAATTTGACTAACAATGTCAATTCACTGCCAGGTGGGACTAGTACCAACTCCCCCACCTGCTGGACAGCCAAGCGCTGCTGTCTGAGGTGAGCCTCCATTTGGGCCTTGAAGTCCTCTGCCTTCTTCTGTTCACTAACCTTAGCCTGTTGCTCAACTGCTTGTGCCTTTTCTTTCTCCACTCTGCAGAAGGAAAAACAAAAGAAGAACTTTATCAGACACTACACTATTAGGCATCTGGTATGAAATATTTTTTTGGTATGAAATATTAAGCAAAATCTGGTTGACTTAAATATTATGAAATCAGTTCAATTTAAAATAAACATTAAATTTAAGGTAATTAGAAACTGACAAATGGATAGAACACATTGAAATTAGAAAAAGGACTTTTAACAAATGATCTGTAGCTTGCACTTAAAAATCAAAAGGTGAAGCAAAATTAACTTGGATATCCTGAATAAATTAATGTGGTAATTCTGTAATTCTGAAATGGTAAAAGCTCCAAATATCTGATTACATGTTAACCATTTTCTTACCTTTCAGCAAACGCCCTGATCTCCCACAATTCCAACTCTTCTTCTGCTACCCAAGTCTCGATAATAACAGGGCCAGTTTGCTTGGGCGTTTCTGGTCTCTTTGGCCGCAATGCACTTGATCGAAGGCCTTTCCTCTGAGGTGTAGGTGTTTCTTTGGAAAAGAAATCAGAATATTTTAAGCAATATAGCTTCTAAAATTACAGTACTTCTAGAATCTCCTCTTACATCATGAAAAACAGGAGTTGCCAAACTTTCTCTTAAAGAGCCAGATGGTAAATACCTTACACTACGCGGGCCAGATGGTCTCTGTTACAACTATTCAACTGCACCTTTGTATCATGAAAAAAGCCAGAAACAATACATAGGTGAGTATGTATGGCTGTGTTCCCATCAAACTTTATTAACAAAAGCAAATGGTGGGTCAAAGCTCATGGGCCAGGTTTTCTCGTCCCTGATATAAAAGGCCTAGGAGTCTTTACACACAGTTTGTTCCATCTGCCTGTAACACTATTTCTAGCCTCCATCCCCTTCACTTGACTACCACCTATATATCCTTCAGACCCTGACATGGATACACATCCTTCAAGAAGCATACTATGTTCCTACCACAAGTCAGGCTGGGTGACCCTGGCATATACAACTCTGGCAATGTGTATTTTCCATCACAGCAATGAGAATGGAGGACTTTAAAACTGCTCATGTAAAAAACGGATCTGAACAAGTAAGTACAGGTAAAATCTCCTAATGGTAAGATTTAAAAATAAAAAGTAGGGAAAGGCAAGCACTGAACTGTCCCATTCATTCAGGGAACAATGAAGCAGCCAAAGAAAACAGAAACAGCAAGTAGGACCTGGGTTATCCAAAGTATTAGGAGGCAAAGAAAAGTGACCCAAGAAGACTGGTTGTTTGAAAGCTCTGGGGTCAATAATGAAGACTGGTCAGAAACCACCTGTTCATCTGTTTCTCTGCTCATCAACTGAGATGTCTCAGTTCCACAACACTGTTTTAAATTATGCTAATTTTCATCATCTGCTAGGATGGCTACACTTTATTAAAGTTCTTTTTAAAAAAGCTACTCTCATTTATTCTCCAAGATGAACTTTTGAACTTTTTTTTTTTAAGATTTTATTTATTTATTCATGAGAGACACACAGAGAAAGGCAGAGACATAGGCAGAGGAAGAAGCAGGCTCTCTTTGGGGAGCCCTATGCGGGGCTGGATCCTGGGACTGTAGAATCATGCCCTAAGCCAAAGGCAGATGCTCAACCACTGAGCCACCCAAGGTGTCCTGAACTTTTTAATTAATTCAATCAAATTTCAAAATTTAAATTTATACATTGGGGGACAATTATTTTTATTATTAAATAGTATATTTCTAAGGAGAGTAATCTCTTTACCCATTTTGTAACAGGTTTTTATCCTAAATGTTTTTATTGCATATATGAAATTAAATTATTGATTTTAATCTATTTATGTCTCTTGGATCTGGTCACCTCACCGAACTCCTTTTAGCATTAACAGTTTTGAGATTCTCATGTTATAGAATTATAATATTATAACCTCTTCTTTGGTTGAATCTCATTCTTCCATGTATTTGCTGTCCCATGCTTATCATTTGGTTGCTCTATAAACGTTTCCTGAATCACTCTTTATGCCTCTTAGATTATTTCTACCCTGAGAACTGAAGTATTTCACAACAGTTTTAACCCTTGAATCAACAAATGTTCAGGGACCACTTATGTGTCAGATTTCAGCAGCAGGTGTCAGGACTACAACAAACTAGACAGACTTGGTAGTTGCCCTCTTGGAGCTGATGGTCTGGTGTCAATCACTGCTCTACATCTTAATTATAAGAGGTATTATTATTTAAGACTTATGTATTTATTTTGAGAAAGAGAGTATGCACAAGAGCATGAGCAGGTGGAGGGGCAGAAGGAGAGAATCTTTCAAGAAAGAAGACTTCCCTCTGAGTGAGGAGCCTGACGTGGGGCTCAATTCCACAACCCATGAAATCATGACGAGCTGAAACCAAGTCGGAGGTTCAACCGACCAGGCCCCCTAGAACCCTTGTAAGAGGTATGATTATAGTTCTCTGTACCCTCCCTATGCTTGGCAAAATGCCTATAGGTATCAATTTGTGTCTAATGAAATCTTGTTATGTTTATTGCTTAAATATCATTTTTAAAAATATAATAGATTGCATTGAAAAGACATCTTTTTCAAAAGTGGAATAAAGAATTAGGAAATGAGGGCAGCCCAGGTGGTTCAGCGGTTTAGCGCCACCTTCAGCCTAGGGTGTGATCCAGGAGCCCTAAGATCAAGTCCCACGGCGGGTTCCCTGCATGGAGCCTGTTTTTTCCTCTGCCTACGTGTCTCTGCCTCTCTCTCTCTCTCTCTCTCTCTCTGTTTCTCATGAATGAATAAATAAAATCATTAAAAAAAAGAATTAGGAAATGATTATAATCAAATTTTAATTTGTTTTTAAAGATTTTATTTATTTATTCATGAAAGACACAGAGAGAGAGAGAGAGAGAGAGAGGCAGAGACACAAGCAGAGGGAGAAGCAGGATCCATGCAGGGAGCCCGATGCAGGACTCGATCCTGGGTCTCCAGGATCACACTCCAGGCTGCAGGCGGTGCTAAACTGCTGTGCCACCGGGGCTGCCCTCAAATTTTAATTTTTTAAAAATATTTTATTTATTTATTCGTGAGAGACAGAGACAGAGACAGAGACAGAGACAGAGAGAGAGAGAGAGAGAGAGAGAGAGAAACAGGCTCCATGCAGGGAACTTGATGCGGAACTCGATCCCGGGACTCCAGGATCACGCCCTGGGCCGAAGGCAGGCACTAAACCGCTGAGCCACCCAGGGATCCCCTCAAATTTTAATCTGTAAAAGACATGGCTAACAGGTCAATAACAAAAAAATAGAATTCTTTCTATTTCTTACCTTTTGGTGCTTCTGGAACTCCAATGGGGCAAATGATTTTCCGGATACAATATTCAGATCGAATGCCATAAGGACCAACATCTCGCCTCTTAATTATCTCTGTTGTTGTGATTTCAGTTTCAGATGTTTCTATGGTGATTTAATCCACACAGTATTAATAAGTACCTAAAATATTCAGAGACTAAAAAGGTACAACATCTGGTGCTTTAAAAAGGAGACATATGTGGAATAAACTTTTAAAAACATTTGATTAATTAATAATTTCAGGACCATTGCTGGAGTGCAAGAATACTGAGTTTCTTCCTCACATTTTTGAAAATTTCTAAACTGAGCAAAACACTGTTTGGGGGCAGCTTAATTTCTGGTGGCAAAACAGTCAAAATAATAAAAGAAGAGAGATGCAGCAAGCATAGGGTTCAGTTTAACTGATCTATACCATACAATAATAAAGATTTTATTTATTTATTCACAAAAGACACGGAGAGAGGCTCTCGAGACACAGGTAGAGGGAGAAGTAGACTCCCTGCAGGGAGCCTGATGTGGGATTCAATCTCAGGACCCTGGGATCACTACCTGAGCCAAAGGCAGATGCTCAACCACTGAACTACCCAGGTGACCCTCCCCTTTTTTGGTAAAGATTCATTTATTTTGGGTGGGGGGTTGGGGTAGGCGAAAGAGAGAGAATGAAAATGCATGTGCAAGGAAGTGAGCGTGCAGGGGTGTGGGGAGAGAATCTCAAGTAGACTCTGCGCTGAGCATGGAGCCCTGATGTGGGGCTCAATTGCATGAGCCTGAGATCATGACCTTTTGACCAGTAAGTCAAAATCAAGTCGGACACTCAACCAACTGAGCCACTCAGGTGCCCCAATGAAGATCTTTTAAAAATTCAGACTTAAAAAAAAAAAATTCAGACTTGTTCACATATAAGTGACTCACCTTATAATTTGAGCCCCCCTCAACCCCCAGGATTTTATAACATGTGCTGCCTAACTTTAGCAGAGCTGTATTAGCAAAGCTATATTTTTAAAACACAAGCATTGTATTTTAATAAATAACAGAAATGCTTAAAATTAAGTGAACTATTCTTTTAAACTTAAACTAGCAAATAAAAAACCCTTACCTGTCCGTGTAGTCCCTCCTCCTGGAGGAGCCTTGGCTGCCATGTCATCCCATCTCAGGCTTGCCCACAGTAACCGTAACATAAGGCTCACTCCAGCTAAGGACTTTACAGTCTGAAGTCTATACCTGAATGAAAAACCAAAGAAAAACTACATATGTATTGTGTACATATGTGTACACACACACACACACATACACATTCTATTATTAGACTGAAGAACTATTTCTTGCTTCCATTATTTTAATAATTATAATACGATTCTGTAAGCACTTTGACTATTATACATCCCTTAATAACTTAACTTTTTTCCCTAGGCATAACATGCATCTAACAACTTAGAAAAGGGTTTGTAGTCACTTCAAATGCCACATAAATTTATAAAATGAGCATGTTTCATTTTAATACTGTCGTGGCAAGAGTTTGTTAATTTTATACATTTAGCCTAATTCCAAAATATATGTTAGAGAAATTATGAAAGATAATAGAGATATAATTGTGTTACTAAAGATGATAAGACTTTTGAGAAAAAGGATAAAATCTTAACTGACTTAGCTGAAACAAATTGTTTAAATTTTCTCAAAATGCAAAACAAAAAAAGACCCCCCCTGCAAATCCAACAAAACCTTTCCAAATGGACAGAAATTTTGCATCCAAATGGTGGCTCTGTAAAACATGAACTATTGGATGATGAATACCTGCTATTATTAATGAACACTTTTAACCACATTAATATAGTTTTAGAATTTTACAATACAATGAGTAACAAAAAGGACAATACTCTATCAGTTACTGATCAGAAGACAAAGGAATCTCTGTGTTCAGTTTTTTCCTAAGCAGTAGGTGTAAAATTATCGAACATTTTAGATATTCTTTTAAAAATAATATTAAAGATACATCTCAAATTTACAACTGTAATGAATATTATGTCCCAAAACAGAACCAACTATAAAACAATGTAAAGAAACCCTAGGGTATCAATTCTCTATTAGTGTCATCTTTGTGTAATTAAACACTCTGTTGACATTTCCATGTACTTAAATAAACACACTTGTTTGCATATACAGAAAATCTATAAAACTTAAATAATTTCCTCCCCTAACAGAGGTAGAAGGTAAACCTTAAGACAATTTGTATTTGAGAGGCAATGCTTTCTATTCTAAACATTAAGCTGGGAAAATGAACAATGTGAGAAAGGGAATGCTCCAGCCAGAAAATTGCAGCTGCTTTTCAAATCCCCATCTCCACCTGTGACACCAAGATTTCCTTTGTCATGCTGTCGCCCTGTGAAACCTCTGACCTGGAGTACAGTTCTTAAATGGGAGAGTCAATGTTATCCAGTGCAGGGATGTCCCAGGAAGGGGGAAAGTGTGTCATGCTCAGACCACACCCCATAGAAATGCCTAGGGAACTCTGAATGCCAAATGGTATGTATTTTGGAAGAGAAATGTTTCTCATTCTCTCCCTTCCTCAGATCACTCACTACAGCCGAACAGCAACTTCAATGCATCTTTGTTTTGCAATGGAAACACCACCAGGTGGGGAATACACGAAAAGCCTATTCGTTCATGTATTCATTCAAAAAATACTTGAGTGCCTTCTATATGTGTCAGACTAACTGAAAGGAGCTGGAGGCAGGGAAATGAATTATAATCTGCTCTTATATCCTCAGAAGCTGTCAGAGAAGCATGAGGAGCACATGACTTGGCTCTGGGATGGGGATCAGAGCTTTGCTAGAGTCTCAGAGGACAAAGATTGTGAGGTTAGCCAGAGGACAAAGATTGTGAGCACACACACGCTCAGAAGGAAAGTGTGCAACAGTACACACCTCTTCCCAGAAACCACATCTGGTATGCTCTGACTGCAGGGCAGGGATGTGGAAGCGCAGCAAGAGACGAAGCTGCCATGAGAGAGGAGGGCAGAGGCAGAATGTGCAGCACCAAATGGAAGGATAAAAGAAGAGCGTTAAAGGCAATCTGCATTAAGGCCTCTGAGACTTATCCAGAATAGGATGAGTTGTAAAGGGAAATACTTCTCAGAGACATGGTGCACAGGTGACAGACGCTCTCCTCCTCCCAGGCCTGCAGTTGTAGTTCACACTTTGAAGGCTTGCTCTGCTCCGTCAGAACATTCACAGGATAGATTTGACTTTTAGGAGGATTATGTGGCCAGCACTGTGAGACAACTACTGGTTCAGAGTGATAATGAAACACAGAATCAGGGCCCAGGAAAAAGGAAGTAAGGGAATGGACAGTGTGGAGGAAAAGAGAGGCCTAATGGATTGACAAGACAAGTTTCACTTTTCACTACTGCTCAGCCTTAACATTAAATTAATAAATATCAAACATGCACTTCCTGGCATTCTTAGCTTCTACTCTAAGCATCAGACAGATTTTTTTATTTTCAAGTGTGAATATAAAAATGCATTTCACATGCATGGTTTTTACAGCAATACACTTTTAAACAATGCATTCTAAATCAAGAATACTTTATTTACCCATGCCCCTGTTAGATACAAGGGATTATGTTTCCCTCAACTTCAGCAGATTAAGACGTTAGCACGTATTTGACAGCAATATCTGTTTAAAATGTACAGGAAGGTATCTCCTTCCAGTAAAAAATGAGAAATTAACTAAACAGATACCAACTGTGCCCACAGTGCATATTAAAACATAACAATCCAAGGCTCCTGAAACCCAGCCGTGCAGAAAAGGGCCCTGGGCAACACCTGATCGGAACTGGTTCAGAGAAAAGTGCTTCCCAGTTGAGCCTACCTTCCACTTCAGAAAAGGAAAGCGCAGAAAGGTTGGCCTCCACCACTGCCAGGTCATTTTAGTTAAAATATTTGTACATAGTAACTTTTCCAGTGGGAAAGAAGTTACCTGCAGGACAGTCAAGGATATACTTTGGGACCGCTCTCAATGAAGAAAGCAGAAAAGTGCAGAGTAATCCTATAAATCCATGAACTGTAATGAAGAGTTCCTTGATTCCCTGCAGGATTCTGCAAATCCTTCATTGCAGGCCCTGCAGAGAAATTGTACTTTTCAGCTGTCTCTATTGAATGTGTAATGGAGTGATGATATTTTAATTCAAATCAAAAGATGAGTTATAAAAACCTTGGTCAAACCAATTGTGACTGGTCATATTAATAAGTTAACTCCTTTAGAGAGAGTACTCATTTACACTTTGTTTTGGTTTTGTTTTATAATACTGACTAATTATAATATAAAAGAAACAAAAAAAGGCATGGTTTTAACTTAAAAAAAAAAACAAAAAATTGGAACCATAGTAAAGACACACAGAAACAAAGCTTAAAGTGAAATGGAATCTGTTCAGTCACTTGAAGTAACTGCAGCTTCCTATCAAAATCTAGCAGCCATCAAGACTGTTCCTGACTCGCAAGCATGCCCCACAGAACTGTTTTCAGTGTTTATGTTCCTCCATCCTTTTGAGTTGTGAGGGTGAAAAGATAAAAAGACAAGGACATGAAAAAAGACAAAGCAAGGACAGATATGTGAAATGTGATATAGCAGATACAGTACTGGACTGGGGATTTAGGAAAACTGGGCACTATTCCTAACTCTGTCCCTCTGTGGCCAGAGGTAACTTATTACACATCCATAAAAGATAAGAATTTCTAAGATCCTTTCCCAAAATGAAACTACATGATCTTACAACTGCCAACACTATGTACTTATGACTCATCCCCAAAGCTTAATACCCAGAAAATTTTAAATTAAGACTATTTCTGGGTTTTAAAAAATCCCTAAGGAATCTCAGAGACCTCTTCTCACATAAATAACAGAGAACTCCAAAACAAATGTTTATCATGCAAATAAATTATTTTAGGAAGATTTCCACATTATGATGAACTCGGTGTGATTCACAGGCATGTTTCCTATGTCTTATGTTTCTATGAATTACCTAATAGAAATAAAGTACAAACATTCCAGAAAGTGGACTATCCAAGTCTCTTATTCTCATTCCCAAGGCAAACACATGGCAATAACTCAGAAAGTTAAACCACAAAACCAACTATGTTTGACATGTTTCTTCTGTCTTGAGGAAAGTAAAACTGAATTTCATTTTAAAGATTTAGATCTTTTCAAGTCTCTTAACATTTTTCCCTAAAGTTTTACCCTAAATAAACTTGAGTACCTCCCAGCCAGCCAAATTCAAGATTCTCTGTTATCTTATTTCCATTACTAACCTGGCCCATTAAATTTCTGCTTCCCTGTCTCTTATTATCTCATTTTTTTTTCTGTAAAAAATGAGATATGCTTACTCAAAAATGCTTTTAAGACTTTCTCCCTTCCCCAAATACATTTTAAAGTACATACCTCCAAGTGATACCAAAGGTTGGTCTAGGAGAAGGATAAGGCCATATGTCCAAGGCAGGTTTTGCATTGTAATTAAAATAAGGGACTTCTCGGATTCCTCCTTTCCTGGCCAACTTTTTTAAGTCATCATTAGGTAGAACAAATATGCTCTTCTTGCTGCTCTTGGTGATAAACTTTCTATACGATGGCAGAGCTGTACCTGAACGAGTCTTCTTGGGTCTTGAAAATTTCATGAGTTTCACTTTATCTCTTGTGGAATACTCTTTGCTCACGGTCATAGATGTCACTAGAGTGCCCCCTGCAGTGGTCAGCGAATCTGTCACTGTTGTGGTGACCACAGTTTTGCTCTGCTCCTTCACAGAGATGATGTCCACACTGCTGCCTGTGGAGGGTGTGGATAGCTTTGTGACTGTTGTAGTGGTGGTTGTGACAGTGGACTTGGCACAGTTTTCTGTGGAAGAGACCACAGTCTGCTTATCCCCTTTTGCTACTTTGATTACAGTTTTTGATTCTGTGGCCACCGTGGATGTCATGGTGGTGACTTCTGTGATAACTGTTTTTCTCTTAGACTCTCCATTGATATTTTCATCTCTGTTGGTGGGCAGACCATTTTCATCAACGAAATCATTACTGAGGTTAGATTCCTCTCCAGAAGTAACAGGTGAGGGAGTAACTTTCTTAACTTCTGAGGTTTCAATTTCCATATCTTCTACCTGGTTTGTTGAACTGCTTTCTGGACAAGACAGTGGAGGCATGGTCTCAGACTCTTTGGTTGATGGCAGGGTGTCTAGGCCATCTTGGTAGTCGCCTGCAGCATCTGAAGATCTCAGTAAACGTGATTTTGTTTCCAAGTTGTTTTTTTCATTAAAATCTTCCATGATGACATCGCCATTCATGAATGGCTTTACAGCAGATTCTTTAACAGTCAATGACTTAATATCATTTTCAGGAATTATTTTATTTATATTATTAAGCTTTGATTCAAGATCACCACTTGCTACTTTACTCGCAGAGATTTCTTTCAAGGATTCCCCTTTTAAATATGTTTTGGGTTTATTATCTTTTCCATTTATTTGATAAGTACTTGCTTTCTGTCCTTTCTTTTCAGACTCCCGATTTTCATTATTCTTTCTGTCAGTGCTACTTTTTAGATTGATTTGATCAATACATTTATTAACTGATCTCTCCTCTAATTTCTGTTCTTGACTTGGCTTCCTACCATTTGCTTCAGTTACCTTACCCTGTGGTCTCTTATAGTTGCTAGTGGACTTATCTGGAACAAAATCACGTTTCAATGGTTCCAAGCCTTCAATACCTTGTTCTTGAGTTACAAATTGCTCAGAAAGACTTTCATTGCTATTCTGTACAATCATATCTTCTTCACTGCTGTCCTGAATAGACATAGTATCAGAACTATTTTCCAAAGTGCTGTTATATTCAGAGATACATCCTAGTTTTCCTTCAAAGTCCACTGCTTTTGACAGAGATGGGAGATCTCTATCATCAGTACTTTTAGGTACTGATGGAAGTGAAGGGCTCTGGGAAGGAGAAACAATGGTGTCATTATCCTCCTGTATGGGTGTTTTTTTGTTCTTATAGATCAAAGTACCAATTCCATCTGCACTGGCTAGTTTGGAGTCATCAATGAGAAAGTCACTTCCTCTTGTTTTAACCTTATTAAGTTCCCGGCCTTGACTAGTAGGTTGAGAGAGACTCTCATCTATGTCATTTCCAACAGAATTCTGTTTCTGACAGTTTGTCTCTGGGCTCTGAATGGAGATGTCATCTAACATTTGATCTTTTGGATGAAGTCTGTTTGTTGTATGACCAGGATCACTGATTCTAAGAATTGAGGAATCGCTTTGTGAACATCCTCGAATCACATCTTCAGATTTACCATTACTTGTGTTAGGGCTTTGTTCTTGTCTAAGCAAGTCACTTTGACACCCTTCTTTTGCTTTTGTTATTACTGATGACTCAGAAAGGCTTTTCAAAGAACTTGTACACGTCTTCCCTATACCCTTAATTCCACCCTCCAACTTCATTTTCTCAAGGCGCTGTTTTTCTTCCAGTGTAAACTGTTTAACTCTCCTTTCAAGAAGTCCATCTAGTTTGGATGATTTAATTTTCTTTTTATAACTAGTCCTTAGATGGAAGCCCTCACTGACATTGACCACATCTACTTGAGAACCTTCCTGACAGTTTATATGCGGCTCTGTTTTCACATCATCATCTATCTCCATTGGTTCTTCCTTAAAGGGTTTCTCATTGTCAGAATCTAAAATTTCTTGTACATCTATGAAACAAACACATTTATGTAAGTGTTAACTTTTAGTCTCAAATGTGGAATTCACAATATTTTTATTTTAAAAACCACCAATGTTTATTTTCATTTCACTCACGGGGCTTCAGTGTAAATATACATATTTGAAAGCTCCTGATACATGATTAAGATAGGTCAATGGACAGGGCTAAACTTTATAAAAGGTCAAAAAACAGACATTTTGTAAATATTTAAATACTCTGATTCTTAGTATCTGCAGTTGGAATGTTACAATGAAAAATTACTTAGCATGTGACATACGCCAGTACCTTCATGGAAAATTTTATGTAAGAGATTTCATAGTCATAAAATATCTTAAGGCTTATACATTATCTAGCTTACCTAGTTTTTAAAGAATGACTTTTCACAAAAGACAGTATAAGTTCCTCAGAAGGCTGAACACAGAGTTATCAGCTCATGACCTAGGATTCCACTACTAGGTCTTTACCCAAGAGGGATGAAAACATATGTCTACATAAGAACTTGTACAAGGATGTCCTTATCTGTATTCATAACAGCCAAAAAATAGAAACAACCCAAATGTCCATCAATTGATGAATGGATAAACAAAATGGGGCACATCCATACAATCGACTATTATTCAGAACTAAAAAGGAATGATAAAATGCTGACATATGCTATAACATGGGTGAATCTTGAAAACATTACACCAAGTCACAAAAGACCATGTATTACGTGATTCCATTCATACAGAATATCCAAGATAGGGCCAATCCATAGAGATAGTAAGTAGACTAGTAGACTGGGGGGATTTAGGGAGGATTAGAAACTGGGTACTAAGGAGTATGATGTTTATTTTCGGGGTGGTGAAAATGTTCTAAAATGGACTGTGGTGACAGCTGAACAGCTTTGTGAAATACTAAAAACCACTGTACATTCTAAATGGGTTAGTTATATAGTAAATGAGCTGTGATTCAATAAAGCTGCTATCAAAGAAATATAAGGCAGTACCTCTCCTGCTGTGCGAACCAGATCCATTACAATCTTATCACCCCCAGGCTGCCCTCCACACCTGACTCTCCTTACCTTGGTCCTTCTTCTCAGTAATCTTGGAAACGTCCATTTCACTTTGGTCTGCCCCTTTTGCAGCATCTGAATCTTTTACCTCGCCTTTCTCAGAATCAGGCTCTGTTTTTACTTTTTTTGGACTCCGTGGACTTTTTCGTCTATCTGATTCGTCCATATTTTCATCCACATTATTTTTGGCTAAAAAGAATTGAGTGTGTGTGTATATATATATAATTATAGGTATTCTGAACATTAGCAATCTGCTTTAACAAATCTAGTTCAGTGGAAATTATATTTCTAGCAATCTATACTGTTTTCTATTTAAAAAATACAAAACTTGAAGATAGTATATACTTTCCTAACATGCTCAACTGACCTAAAGCATAAGAGGAATGAGCACATTTTAGATGTACTTCAGGATCTTTCATATATGACACTATTTCAGCTGCTCAATGACTCCACAAAGTCTATATCAGTGTTTCTAACATACTTTAGATTAAAGAACCATATTAGGAAAATAAATACTTAAGTATTTTTCACCCAGAGTCCGTGGATAGACTTCAAGGCTATCTAAGAGCCAGTGAAATTAATTACAAAGGTTTGTTTGTATACTTTTTTTTTTTTTCTGGGTAGGGAATCCCTGTATTTATCATAGATTAAAAGAGACTTCAGAGAAATAACCAAATGCAATGTTTGGCCTTGTCTGGACCTGATTTACTACCAACATTAAAAGGGCATCTCTGGCACAGCTGGGGTAACTAGAATAGTAACTGAGAATCTCAAGATGGACATGTTAAATATTGTTAGTGCGTTGAATGGTAATGGCATAATTTATGGAATGACCACTCCAATCAGAGATATATGCTGAACTGGTAGATAACATAATTTCTGGAATTTGCTCTAAATACATAGGGGGGGGGACTCTAGAAAAAAAGTAGATTATTACAACTAATAGGAGAATGACAGAAAGATGATGCTTTTTTACTTTCGTGTAGTTTCAAATTTTCCATAAGGAAAAAAAAAATCAAGCCCATGATACAGAACTATTGTCCAGGTGAATTTTCTTGGGCCTTACAGGCATTTTCTACCCTTTATTATTCTCTTCACTTGATCCCAAATATCTCAAGGACTTAGCAACGTGTACCTACTTCTTATTTAAACAAATGACTCCTTCCAGAAAGATCTAGCTGAGGGAAGGGAAAAGAGTGCAAAAAACAAACTTGGTATCTGTCAAGACAGTAGTATACTGGGGAGAGAAGAAACGAATCATAGAAAACAGTGATAGGATGTGTCTGGACAAGTAACAAAAGGACAAAAAGTAAACTGATACTCTCCTTATTCAATGCTTCTTTAGTTATTTCAGAACAACTGAGCAATATTTTTTCAATGATTTCAAGTTTCTCAAAAAGAGCTTTATATAATAGTGCTCCACCTAAAAGTTTTAAGAACCCAGATGCTTAAAATAGACAATTATAAAATACTTGGGATGTCTTCTCCATTAAAGATCTTCTAGACATAAAGACAATTAATATCCTTTGTTAATCCTTGCACATCAGTACCTTTATTGACACTTGTAAACTAATATGCAAAGCTAAGGCATTCAGTCTGAGTTAGAATGGAGGTTAGAAATAAGTGACACAGTCAAACAAGCTGAACACTCTAGTCTTCTGATGCTAAGTCAAGGTTCCCTGAAACGCATTTCTGTTTTTTCCAGCACATCTGTGCCTCTGTCAGATGATCAGATTAGGTTAACCATTATTATAGGGACCAATAGTTCTGAGATTATAAACTGGTGGTTACTAATACTAATGCCTTCACTGTAATTCTTATTCTATACTAACACATGCACTGCTATCACCGGAGAGGAAAAGCTCAAAAGATGTTGTAAGACCAACTTGGTACCTGACTGGATAAAGGCCCAGAATTTGGACAATAGAAACAGTATGCTAAGGAAAGTGGATATGAGATAAATCTGCAAAAACCTAAATATTTTGCTTATTGATAATCTGGATTTTATTACACAAGACAAAATAAGTCAGATATAATTAAACAAAAGCTCTCTATAATTCTACGTGCTATGTGGGTAACTGGAGCAACAAAATGGCAATAAAAAATGTTAATCTTTTAGAATTTATTATAGTGGACATTTGGCTTGAATATAATCAGATCACAATAATAAAATTTAATATTGAATAGTTCTAGTTGGCAAATAGAACAATTCACTGAGCATCTATTATGTGCAAGACATTTCTAGTCCCGATAAATTCCAGTGACCCTTATGAAATAAGTATTTTTCCATTAAAAAGGTAATCCAAAATGATAACTTTATCACATTAATAATTTCAAATATCTCAACCAGTCCAGGATTCAGCAGAACCATTCACGAAGAAGCCAAATTAGTTAGCTAGGTATGTACACAGTACTCACTATAGCGTAGACTTCATAGGAAAGAACACATCACACCATACATTAGCAAATTACACTGCACAGTGAGCAGAACTGCTTTTGAAAATAATCAGGTAACAAAAAAGTGATGGCAAAGTATAGTGCAAAAAAGGACAGTGGGAGCGAGGAGACATAGATTCCAGTCAGAGTTCTATTTGTGTGAACTGTACATAACTTCACATCTTCATGAAATAATCTACTCATGGAATGTGAGTTTCAAAACAGATGGTGTCTTAATAGGGCAGTTCCCCTCTAGAATTCTGTGACTCTAAATATATTCGTTGTTAGCGAGTAGCACAAATGGAGTTAATATCTCCCTCATTTATGTGGAAGTGTTTACAGAAGTCTCTATCACCTCCCTTCTGGTTTTGTAATGTGCTACAACATCAAGATTACCAAAGAGGTGGTTCCTTAGGAAGTCAAGTAATACTGAATTTAAGATTTTAGAAAAACAATTAGGTGCTGAGGCCTTTTTTCTTTTTCTTTTTCTTTTTCTTAGGAAGTTCTATTCTATCGTCTTTCTTTAATTGAAATCCTAGTTATAAAAATCCTGAGAAAAAAAGTAATTTGAAGTATTTGAACTTATTATTAATAAATAAACTACATTGGTAGTTTTGCATGTTCTATTAAAATATTCCAGAAAAATATGGTCAATGCACTACAAATTTATAAGAAATAGTACAAAATCAGAAGTTATGATATAGAAAAAATAACTTCAATTACTTACTTCCTTCTAATGATTTTCTGTAATTCACATTAGTATTGCCTGGCAACTTAGGAACAAACCTATAAACATGAGTTTTACTAATCCAGCTCCAACCACCATATCCTGTTACTCTGTATTCCTCTCCTTTTTGTTTCCAAACCTGGTATAAATGAAAACATTCTGATTAAACAAGAATGAGAATACTTATAAAGCACATGTGGTTTTATACATTTTTACCAAACAAGAAAAATAGGCAAATAAGTTTACCAGTCAATTTTATTTTCAAGAGGAATCAAATATTTATGAAAAACTGAATACAGCTGACCCTTGAACATGGGGGTTTGTTGACTCCTCCCCACGCAGTCAAAAATCCATGTGTAACTTTTAATTCCCCCCAAATTTAACTCCCAATAGCCTACTGTTGGCCAAAGTCTTACCAATAACATAAACAGTCGATTAACACATATTTTGTATGCTATACATATTTATATATTACATTCTTTACAATAGAGGAAGCTAGTGAGAAGAAAATGTTATTAAGAAAATCATAAGGAAGCAGGTGCTTGGGTGGTACAGTCAGTTAAGCATCTGACTCTTAGTTCCTATTCAGATCATGATCTCAGGGTCGTGAGATTGAGCCCCATTGTTGGGCTCCATGCTGAGAGAGGAGTCTGCTTAAGACTCTCTCAGCCCCTCCACCCCCATCCTTCTCTAAAATAAATAAATCTTTAAACAAAAGAAAAAGAAAATCATAAGAAAGGAAAATACACTTACAGTACTGTCCTATATTGGAAAAAAATCTGTGTGTAAGTAGACCCATGCAGTTCAAACCCATGTTTTTCCAAGGTGAACTATCCCCTTTTCTAATATGAAAAATGTAACACAATTTTACAGTTTTCTAATAATTTCAACAAATTAGTCTAATAGCTCACTTATATTCTAGTAAGATAAACCTATGCTTACAAAATTGCCAGAAAGATTTACTTTGTTCCAACTACATTAAAGAAAAGATTATGTCAAAGTAAAACAAAATTTAAGTATTCAAAGTTGGAGAATACAAGTCTCAGAAATGGTTAACACTATTTTAAAAGACTGTAATAAGAATTACCTGATGTTTAACTGGAAATGTGTATTTTACCCATGTAGCTTGTTGCATTGTTTCTTCCTCTTCTTGTTTTTTCTCTTTTTTCTTGACTTTCTCCTTCTCTTCTCTTTCAATTGATGTCATCCTGTGTAACCTAAAAATATATGAATGGAAAGACAGAACTGCATTTAACTTTGAAAAATAAAAAAGATAAAAATACAGTACTGAAAATCAGGAGGACAGAATCAAAGGCTGGTTAGCTATAATCCCACGACCCAGACAACCCCAATCAAAAAATAACTAGATGTACAATTCTATAACAGGAAAAATCAAACAGCAGAAAAAAGCAAAAACATGCCATCCTTCCTATATGTGTCCTTATAAGAAATATATTCCCTTATGGCTTATTCCTAAAACTATCTATACACCAACATCCTATTTACACAAAACAGATACTACATTACAATCACAACTACATAGCATGTATTCAATGAATTACTACACTAGAAGATCTTTTCATACCAGAAGATACAGATCTTTTTTAAATAATTAAATAATATACCCCACTGCACGGACATACTATAATTTACTCAACCAGTTCCCTATTATACAGTACATTATTTCCTTCTCACCAAAAAGACCAAGAAATCCAAAATCTTTTATTTTAACCAATATTTCTAATTCTATCTAGCATTGGGAGTTTTAAAGTCATTACAGGGTCCACTAAATGTAGAATTCAGGCTTTCTACATCCATAGAGAAAAGGACCCATGAGGCTCCCACTCCTGGGTGAGGGGAAGGGCTAGGAAAGAAGGACCCACACTGATTAGCACCAGTCATTAAACACAGGGCACAGGCCACACTCTTTTCAGGGTGTAAAATGTATCATTGCACCCAGCAGTAAGGAGACAGGCAGGCCTGTGGTGGGGCTCTACATTAAGATGATTAGACTGAAAAATTAAAAATTAAAAAAAAAAAGATGAATAGACTGGATTTTTGTGAATGGGAGTATTTGCCATAAACAAGGACACTGATCAAAACCTATGGAGAGAGGAGTCTAAGAGCTGTAGTGGTAAAAAACTGCTCTATCACACCCTACCCAGATGTAGCCAATCTTGCATGTAAAGCCATGTGGAAAAAAAAAAAAAGAGAGATCTTTTGTCAACTTAGGGGAGGAGGAGGTTCTGGAAAGATGTGAAAAGGGATTTAATTCTTTTTATCTCTATCCTCCCACTAAAAACTCCCTATTTATCTCCACTTTGAAGAAAGCTTTGTGTCCTATGATATAGACCCTAGAATCTAGTCTTGCCCAGGCTGAGAGCTCAATGCCTATTAGCTGCACAACCACTACTATAGCAAACATACTTCATTCTCTCACAATTGACGGGAGGAGGGGAAAAGGAGCTGATTCTCACCGGGGATGAACTTATTTAAGTATCATCAACTGGCTACTACTCTTGGGACCAAGGGAGTGGGGCATGCTCTGTAGGCACAGCGTGGTGGATAACCTGATAGCTTCAACCCACTACACTGAGCCAGGATCAGGTAGTATTTTTCAACAGAGTTTTTGTGGGCTAAGCTTTAAAAGTCTCCAGAAGTTCAGGTCTGACACAGCAACTGAGCAATCTTTGCTGACAACGGCCAGGAACGGAGCCCTGTGCAGGGAGGCCACCGGGGCAGAACACAACTGGGCTGAGAGCTCAGTCTGTGCTCTTGGTGTTCACATGGGAAACAAACATTGTCACCACCAAGTACAAGGGCTTCACTTTGCTGAGGATATCAGGCCAGTGAGGTAGTACTATAGTTAATCTATGATGTTAGCTACTCCTGAGAAAATTCTATTGTTTTCACTGCCACCAAGACAATCATTATGTTTTGAAAGCAAAAAAGGTTAGCTCTGAAGGAGTGCAATTCCATTTGGATAGGCAGAAACCTTGGCTACTGCTGGCAGCCTGGATGCCCCAGGAAGGAAACCCCATGGTGCTGGTATTGTGCAGCTTCCAGCTGCCACTCCATACTGGCAGGCACATTGGGTGGCAGGTGTTTCTTCCACACCTCCATGGTTCGATGGAGAATGTGACCAGGAGTAGGCACTAAGCCTCAGCTCCACTCCCGATCTCCATGTGGTGCCCAGGGTCTTGATGTACTTGTTTTGCTGTTACAAAGCTATAAGAAAAAATGCTTTGTGTCTTTCTTAGTAAACTTGTAGAGTACCCCCAGTACCCCCAGGGGTGGGGTAGCTAAGTCCAGAAGTTCTTGCACTGACAAGTAAAATGCTGACAAGTAAAGCCATAAAGCTCTTCAGAATTGTACACTTCATGCCGCCATCAATTATAAAGCCACCCTTTCCCACACCTTCACTCAAGTTAGTACCAAACTTCTAAATTATTAGCCCAACTGAGAGATAAAAAATTATATCCTAGAGTTTTGATCGACATTTCTTTAATTACGAGAAAAGTAAACATTTTTATGTCCACTGGCCTTTCATATTTATTTTTCTGCAAAATGCCTGTTCAAATCCTTTGTCTTGTTTGTACTGGACTATTAGTCCTTTTCATTTATAAAAGATCTTTGTCAATTAAGGTAACTTCCCATTTGTGTTGCAAATATTTTTCCTCAGTCTGTCATCTGTCTTTTGAGTTTGATTATAATATTATTTTTCCACTCAGAATTTTAAATACATATATCCACTTTTTTCCTCTATGGCATCTGGGTTTTACATCTGTTTAAAAAGAAAGTATCACAACAAAAACATAAATTAATCCATAGTTTCTTATTGAAGTTTTTTAGTTTTTGTTTTTTAAAAAAATCTTCATTGATCTGAATGTTTTTGCTGAGGCAGGGATCTAGATGGTTATTTTCTCCAGACATGTCCTCTTTCTTTCTCTTACATACAAAGCTGTCATTGGTAGATGCTCATATGTGCTTAGGTCTATTTCTGGATTCTTTGTTCTATCCCACTACCTTAAATCTTATTTTCTATTGTAGCTTCAAAAATGTTCTAATACCGATTCCCTTTTTTCTCATACCTACTTCCCATTTCTTGCAATTAATTTTTCTAGCTGAAATATTAATATCATTTTGATCAAGCCTGTCTGCCCCCCAAGGAGGGAAAATTCTATTAATAATGCAAATAAGTATTAATTTTGATAGATTAAATTAATATAATTAACATAATGCACGGTTTTAGAAAATGTAGTATACATATTTAAACTATCTTTATTTCTTCATTTTCTGAGTATCCTTTCTATCTTTAGTAAAACTTTAATTAAAAACTTTAATTTACATGATCCTAAATATTTCCTTGGTAAATTTATTCCTAGTTGTTTGAGGGTTTTTTGTTGTTATTGGGATCTTTTCTTTCACTACAATTTTTAAAAATATGTAAGATGTAACTGGGTTAGGAAAGAGAACTTTGTAGCAATAACCAAATACATCGGAATCTAGTGTGTCCCATTCCCAGTCATCATCCTGACTTTGGGGTTATTGTCCCCTTACTTTTCTTTATAGTTCTATCACTCATGTATATCCCAAACAGTATACAGTCTGGCTTTTTTTTTTTTTTTTAAGATTGTATTTATTTGAGAGAGAGGACAGCAGGGGGAGTGGTAGAGAAAGAAGCAGGCTCCCCACTGAGCAGGGAGCCCGATGTGGGACTTAATCCCAAAACGCTGGGATCATGACCTGGGCTGAAGGCAGATGCTTTCCCAACTGAGCCACCCAAGTGCCCCAAAGTCTGGCTTTTGAAAACTCGGTAGCAAGACTAAAACTAGCTGCATGAACAAAGACCAATACTGTTACTATTAAAAAAAGGTTCCCAGGAAAAAATAAACTTGTCCCTGGGTCTGAAATGTGAGGGTGAGGGTCTGAGTGAGGCCTGGAAGACACTGGGCTCACCATACTCAAGGTTATCTGGCAGGATGTGTGAAAAGTACAGGTACACTGCACAGATATGATCCAAAGTGAACTGCTATGGACTTCCTACTTCTATGCCTTTTGATGATTCTATGGTGTGACTCATGAAAATTCTGTTTCCCCCACTGACTCAGGATATAGCCCTCTTAGGCAGGTTACCATTTGTCCACCTGTATTATTGCTTCCATGGCCTTACTAGTGCTGTATTCTCTGTTTGTTTCCCTTTTCTCTGTGGGTTTATGCTTTAAAAAATCCCCTTGCCATAGTTTTCATGGAGTTAAGCAGGGAACAAATAAATGTATTTATACAATTTGTTATTTTAACCCAGAACTCCCACAGTATTTTCTACATAGTTACTGTTACACAAAATGTATTGTTCAGGGGACACCTGGGTGGCTCAGTCAGTAAAGCATCTGATTGCGCCTCAGCAGGGAATCTGCTTGTTTCTCTCCTTCTGCCCCTCTCCTCACTCAGGCACGCACAGCGTTCTCTCCCTCATTTATTTATTGATTTAGTCAATAAAATCTTTATTAAGTTTTCAGATTGTTTCTGATGGTTTTTCAATTTTCTTGGGGTTTCTAAGTAATTAGGTCAACTGCATATAATAATTATGCCTTTATCTGCCAACACGTACATACATACACAAGCACACACACACACATATGTATGTAGATTTTATTTCTCTTGACAAACTGCATTAGCTAATACTTTTAAGAAAAGTTAAAAGATAGCAGTGATAGGGGGCATTTTCATTTTCTCCCACCTGAATGTTAATGGGAACGCATCAAGAAAGCATGATAGTTTGGTTTGGAATACATCTTTTTGGGGGGAGGTGGACAGCAGGGGTGGACAAAAAAAAAGACTATTCTCTATTCCTATTTAAGCTTTTTTTAAACCAAGAATTAATGACCTTATATCTTCTTAGTGTCTAATTAGATGATCAAAGTTTTCTCTTCAAATGGCATGATATTAATAAACTAAGAGTGGACAAGTCTTCCATTCCTAGGGGAAGCCAATTATCCATGGTTTATAATTTTTAAAATTTACTCCTGAATATATTTACTAATGTTTTAAAAGTACCTGAATGCACATCTATTTGCCATTTAATTATTAACCAATGATAAATATTAATAAAAAGAAATAGGGCCATAATTTTCTAGTTATCTACTGTCCATGTCTATATATCAGTTTTTATTACAGTGTTCTACTAACAAATAATAATCTGCAAGCTTTCTTTCTT